CCTAAGTATTCATATTCAGGGGGAAGTACAGCGCTTGCTGTGTAAGTTATGTTTACCCACCATGTCTCTGAATTGATCGGTTCAGAATTATTAACTAGGACTGCAACCCGATGGACAAATTTTTGGGAATGTCAACAGTCCTAAGGCTGTGCTGTAGCTTACAAAAAGGGATATGTCAGGAAGATATTAAATTACACAAGAGTATTCCAGAAACAAAGAAGTACATGAAAAGACCCTATATGTTCTTTTTAGAAAGATAAAAAAGTGAAAAGCTGTCCTGTGGTTTGATATGTTCAAAAAATGGTCTTCTGTCCCAGCATAGTCTCTAAAATATCTCATTTCTCCCTATAGTTGTTAAAGTTGGTGCCTTTTTATATTTTTTGGTACCCCATGTTCTTACATTATACTGTACTAATGGAGTTTACATGTGCTTTTAAAAACATAATTGATTTATCTTCATTTACCAATAATACATATATGAACAGGAACCATTAAAATACAATTAGATAAACAGTGCAGGTGAGAGAGGTGAAAGTCCATTCTCTTTGTTTTTATATTTATCTATGGAAAGACTATTAGATGTCCAGGCCTCTTTTCTGTTCATTACACTACTTCATAAGATTAATCTATGATTGATTTTGTTTCCTTTCCCCCTCTTTATCTCTAAGCATAAAGATGATTATACTTAACCTTTTGACATGAAGGGCACATGCATAATGCACAATTCAATTACTGTGTATTTATTATCTCATTCCATATTGTTCAATAGCTGGAATGTTAGGCTGCTTCAAGTCCTTTGGAAGTTTGACATGATCATGTCTTCAAATCAGTAGTTGAGAGAACAGGTCAGTTAAAGGATTTGGCCTAATGTTCTTGGTTTCTATTACAGAACAGTGCGGTGCTCTCTGCTGCTATATTTGTCACACTGATAGGCTTGCTTGTGTACCTGCACTTCGTGAAAATTGACCAGGAGTCTCTGCTTATTGTTGGCTCACTTGGAATACAGATGACTTCATCCTATGCATCTGGCAAAGAAAGTACAACCTTTATAGAGATAAGCCAGGTCAAAGATGTGGTCATCAATGAAGCCATCTATATGGTAAGCCTAATATGCCACTTCTTTTACTATGCTGCTGATTATCTCATATCTTAAGCAACCAGAGGGCTGCTTTTTTCTTCTTCTTTTTTTTGGTCTGGAAAGGATTTTCCCATGTCAGATGCCAAGGGCTCTGTTCTGTTCTTCAGGACCAGCTGACCTTTCCCCTTGAAATGAAAGAACTCTAAATGGAATCTCACCAACAGATCTCAGTGGGAGAGGGATGGCTGCAGACCTGGCCCAACTGTGTGTTGGGGTTAAGTTCTTAATTCAGTGGGCAGATGGGTGGTGGGGCCAGAAACTTCTTTGATTCTCTTCTCTGTTGGTTAAAAAATACCGGTAATTTATAAGGTGGCTCAAACCTAAGGAAACCTTACTGGCCACTTTAGGATATCATTATCCTTTCTTGAAGAAATTATCATCCTGATAAAGATGTGGGTAGCGATTTCTTGTACCAGGGTTGTAATCTTATAATTGGTAGCACAGAACAACTTTCTCATTGTTATATTTGTGTGTTGTTTGTTTTTGTAGCAAAAGGTTATCTATTACCTGTGCATCCTTCTCCAAGACCCCGTGGAACCTCATGTTGTTTCAGAGGTAGTACCATTGTTCCAGGTGAGTCCATCAAAGTGCACAGGAGTGTTAGAAATGGTAGAAAATATTTGTTAGGCCATGTAGACTCTTGACTGTGGCCTCTTATTTTCAGAACTCTGCAGTGCTACACAACACTTTTTTACGTGATCTTCCTTTCAATCCTGGGTCCAAGAACATAGAGTGGCTGTTAGTTTGTAATTCAGTGCACCTTAGACGCAGCAGTGACATGCTCAATTGAGCATGGATTAACTGCTGAACTTTCTGGATAGTTGATCTTGCCCAGGTAGGTGGGGCAGTAACCCTTGTCACCCTTTGGTGCATTTAAGCCCTTGCTTTTCTCAGTTCTGTCAGCTCTAAAGAATACAATTTACCATCTCACTGAGCCAATTAACACTTCTATAAGCACGTACTAAATTAACCTGTTTTTCTATGAAACTCAGTGGCAACCTTCAATAAGAGAGCTTCCAAATGGACTTTACACTAAGAGTTGTTTTCAGCAGCTCAAAAGGCATTAGGACTCAGAGAGCAAAGGGTGGGTGGGATGGAGTGGGAAATTACTGCAGAGGTGAGGAGTTAAATACATAAATATTTCTTAGTTTTTGGCCCAGCTCAGTAGCAGTAGAAAGTTATAATTTTATGCCCTTTCTATTGTGTTAGCATGGGTGGTGTTCTAGGCTACTATTTATTTTGTGGCTGACCAGATCAGTGAAGACATAGTTTGGATAAAACTTAAGAAGTTAGGCCTTTTAAAACATCACTGCTCTGATCATTCAGACTAGTCTCTGCAGCAGTGGATGTTCTTCAGAAAGGGCGACCCTGTTTCTCCACCCCTGTCCTCCACATTGCTTATATCCATACATTTTTACTTACAGAGAATGGAGAATTCATTTTCCAGCTTGTTTTTGTCCATCATCTCAAATCAGCCGATAGGCTCTTTGAAATCCTAGCCAGCAGCAAACCAGGGACATATACCCTGTCTCCAGAAAAGAAACAAAACAAGCACATAAACAGAACATATGATGTAGCATTTTGGTGGGGTGGCTGGTCCCTCCAAACTGGCTGTTCTGCCTTCCTCTCTCTCTACTTTTGTCAGTATAGCCAATCAGGGAACTTGGATTTACATAGAGGAACTTGTAGAATTAAAGATAGGGTGGGACTATGAGCATGTGCTGTCAATGTCAGGTAAGAGAGATAACGTTTGTGTGTCAGGTGTGTTTGCCTGGGTTCAGTGTGTCTAGGTGCATGTATGAGAGAAAAAAGGTGAGAGTGTGTCAGGTGTATGTGCCAGTGACAGGTGAGTGTTTGTGTGCACCAAGTGTGTGTGACCGAGTTAGATGTTGATGTTTACATTTATGCGAGCAATCTCCCCTATTTTGTATGTCATTTTCACTAATATGTGCATTTTATGCACACTTTTCTCTAAGATGTGCATTTTTGTAGACATTGGTTGAGGAATTGCATAGCAAAATTCAGAGTAGTGTGAATTTCAAAATATAGCTGTTTTGGTTTGTGTATTTTGTTCAGTAAGTGGGAATTCAGTAGGTTCACATTAAATGCAAACAAAATCAAATTTCTCCCCCATCCCTAGATGAGACCTTCTTTTTTTTTTTCCCTCCTGTAGCCATGCTGGCTTTGGGTGAAGCCTCCCTAATCTTTCAGCTTCAATTGCAGTTCTTCAGCCATTTGAGTCTCTCTTGTCTCCTTTATATATAGAGCTCCAAGCCACGTCTAGACTGCCTTGTCCAAGTATACAAAAGCTGCCAAGAAATCCTGGAACAGAGGAAGACATATTGACACCAGTTTTTAAAGTGAATTTATCTGGGTAGAAAACTTGCTAAGATACCAAGCTTTTCTTAAAAAAATAGTTGAGAAGGCACTTGTTGCAAGCATGTTAATGGATTTGACCATGTGGATAACTAGATGGCCATGGATTCTAATGCTGAAAACTGAACTGAAAACTTCTAGTGCTTTCATGGGCAAGGACTGAGTATGTAATCCTGAATAAATGTTATGGTGGAGAAATGGCTAAACTGGGCCCCACATCTTTTTCAACATGACGTAAGAATGATTATAAACTTTCTGTAAATAATTAACTCTACCATGTGAATGGAAATCTACAGGGAAGGTTCAGCAGAAATGGGATGGACAGGGAAACTGCCACGTTAGTACAAGTATATGGAAGATGGGAAACTGAGAACACCATTACATTATTTTCTAAAATCAATTGTGAGATCTTCAGTGTCTGTATGATATTCTTACTTATGCACTTAGGTTTGTCATTAGCAATTGATATTATGTGATACAAATGCCTGCTAAACAAATCCTTTCACTAGTTGTTTTAGAAGCATTTTGCTGTACCCTGTGTTGTAACAAGATAACCTGTGTTTACGAAGTTCATATGTTGTAAGGGACATTTTCCAGTACACATGGAAGATCTGGCCAGAGTCTAGAGAACCTCACATCTAACTTAAAAGAAAAACAGACCAGACAACTGCTTTTGAAATTCAGGGAAATTTCAAAGCACTTGGTCATAGGACATGAAGAGGGTGCAGAACTGCTTCCTCCCAAGGAAAGTGTCAAAAGTCATGCTGGTCTCCCACAATCCCTAAGCTTAGCTACCTGAATTGTTGGTTGGAAATTTGTCAAATAGTAAATGCCATTCCCTTATTTAGTGTGTCCTACTGCATGTGCTTTGGGCAGGAAACAACACTGATAATTAAGAGACCCACTGTATAAGAATACTATCCTGAGTTAAAACTATCCCAAATCTACTTTGTCCAGGCTAAAGAAGACCCCCCCCCAAATGCCACATAATATTCAGGCATGGGCTTTGGCAAGTCTTCAAATCAAGGGAGTTGCACCTTTGTGGAATAGCCACCAAGAGAACCCCTCTCATCACAATTTCATGGTACAAGTTTGGTGCACAGACTGCATGGGGTCAAGAGAGCTACTTGAATAGTTCCACAAATGCCTGCCAGATTTCAAAGAAGTGCCATCATACGAAGAGGCCGCTGATGGAACTCATGTTCAGTTTCCCCTGTTGATTTCTAGGCAAAGAAGTACATTCTTACTGAAGGAATGTATTGTAGACTACAGCTCTCTTGTTAAAATGTGGAAGGAACTGGTTTGATATCCAGCTGCAACTGTTAAAGCTGCTCCACCAGCAGAAACCCCCTTTATTTCAGTAAGATCTTTTGTGTTCAACTGAGAGGAAATAGGTCCCTGTGTTTGGCATAGAATGTTTGCTGCATCTGCTTACACCATCCCAAAAGCTAGGTAAGAAATAAAACAATGAAAGAAAAATCTCCTGCTTTATTGATAATCATAAGTTTATTAGCTTCACCATCATTGCATTGCATTACAGTACGTCATAGTTTTTTATGTACAAAACAGTAGTTGTGAAAACAAAGTCTTCTTTTTCACTGTTGTGCTATAGCAAATTTCCAGCTAGGGGCACAGGGCTGTTCACAACTGAATTTTATAAACTTTGCTAGAGTGGAATCCTACAAATCTGTCATGGTTTCAATAGACAGTTTTCTGAATGCCAATAAACTATAAATATATAGTAGCATCATAGTCTCTGCATCAGAGGAGAGAGCTGGATTCAGGTCTCACTGGGATCCACTAGTAAGCTGCTATATTTCAGCTGCAGCCTCTCCTCTAACACGGGAGTACTGTTGGGCTGTTACTGTAAAATGAAAATCTGCAGCATTAATGAGAGTATTGGAGCATACCTAACACTATCCATGGAAACAAGCCAAAGGTAAGTATATTTTCAGTGGACAGTTTGGATTTGATTGTACAGTGTTCTCAACCCTCTAACACTAAACACATTACTTTGAAGCAAGTAAGTTCTGTTGAAATAGATGGAACATACATTCCAACTTTTGCCACATAGTTTGGAAGTAAACGGCGTCCAAGTGTGGTAGACTACTTCTGATCTTTGCTCTCACAGTAAGTTTCAAGTACAGTAGGAAAAAATTCACATCCTCAGGTGGCCACAACTCTTTCCACAAATATATATAAAACCAGTCAAAATATAGTTGTTGAGGACAGACAACCAACAGCTGTAACAGCAATCAGGAAAAATGGCCTCAACCAACATGAAAACAATTATTGGGAGCAAAGAGAGATTTTTTTTATAAAAAATTGTAACTATTTCACTAGCCCTCACCTGTTTTTAAGAGGAACCTCAAAAGGATCCTGTCCAAATATATGCATGGTCTTTTTAAAAAAGGTAACAGGATGTGAACACACCTTCCTGCCAGTTGACAGGCCATGCAGATAGAATCTGATGTATGGTTTTAGGCTGCTGCTTTGCTTCCAGATGTGCACTTTGCTGAGGTTGCAGATTCAGATGCACAGATTATTTGAGCTTTATATGCCGATAACCCAGCAAGGGGATCTGCATGGGTGGGGCTCTTGTTCTTTTGGGACAGAAGTGTTTCCTTTGTAAGGTTTTGGTACACTCAACAAGTGCCCAATGGCTTCTCCATGGATGCTGGAGAACGGCCATACAGATCAAATAAAATAACAATGATCTGCAGATCCTTATTTTTGTTATAGAAATGTGGATTATTCAAGAATGCAGTACAAATCACATTATAGGTATACATTTTTACAGGAAAAATAATCTGAACAGCAATACCTATCATCGATCTATCAGCTTTGTCATAGGTGATTATTGGAAGGAGAACACTTATTTTTAAAGGCAAGATGGACAGCATTTAGAAATGTATTTGTTTGCTAACCACTCCCCTTTGAAGGAAGCAGGAGTTCCAAAGATAAGTATTGCTAAAAAAATAAGGTTTTTTGTGTTAAACAAAGCCATAAGCTGGGAGGCAAAACAACATCAGATGCCTTCCCATTTCAAAGTGGTCCTAGTACAAATGTCAGTAGTGAACACATCCAAAAATAAATACAATATAGTGGTTCCAACATTTCAAAGCATACACCTGAGATTATGCATCATAAAATGCACCTCTATGGCAAGAGCCAAGGGATTGTCCTTGTGTAATGCTATGGTACAGTATCTATCTAGTATAATATATGAGGGATGTTTTCTTGCAATCATTCATGTTTTTGCCAGTTCCTCCAAAAGCACACTACCTGCATTTTACTATAGTTCAAAAGTAAACATGTTAAATTATTCCACCCTAATGCTGTACCATGTATGGAAACTCCAAATATGGATTGAAAATGTTTTAGTCAAAGTAGTTTCTCCCCCCCCCATATTCAGAAAGTCTAGGTACTATGTGTGCAATTGTTCAGCTACAAGGAAATCCTTTGGATCATCAAAGGAAACTTCTAATACTAAACAGCCATTCCTTAAGTATCCCCTGCATATACGAAGAAGTCATTCTGCAAATTGTCCAGGCAACTTTTTCTATTGCTGAATTGATCTTACCATTAGTACTCTTATAATCTGTTTCCAAATATTTAATCCGAGACCATCTTCCCGCAGCCCAGACCCATGGTATCATTTCCTATCCATGAGGCACAGGATGCTCAATTGATTTCACACATATTTTTTGATATCCTTTAAATAATCTTAAAACTTTCAATATACTCCTCCTGCGTCCTGATCCTATGCATGCTTACTTGCAAGTAAGTCTCACAGTTTAATGGAGCTTACTCCCAATTAAGTATGCACTGAATCCAGCCTTAGCCTTCTTTTGTTTTGGTTAAACATGCCCAGTTCCTTCAGCCTCCCTCTACAGGATTTGTTTCCCAGACCCTGTGACCATCCTTGTAAGTCTTGTTTCCGTTATGTCAGCATGATCTGCATTCACTGTGTTGAACACAGCATTCCACCCAAGTTCTTTCCAGTGCCAAAATTTTTTGATACTTCTACTTCACAAGTCTTTTGCTAAGAATTCAATTATATATTATAGGGGAAATGGAACTGCAGCTGTACCTGCAAATGGGGACCCCCATATTAAATTCTCTCCTGTAATGTGTAATATTATTCATCATGTGAATCACCACATGGTGAATTTCCCCACTGCTCCACATTATTGGCTGCCACTAGTGTGGGCACCTTCAAATGGCAGTGGCCATTTCTGCCACAATACCACAATGTTGACTTATGTTTATACTGGTACCCTTGGAAACTTTTAGATTTATCTTGGACATACTCCAGCTGCCCAGTTAAGATACACCTAGCCTTCTTATATCTTGTGTTTCCCCCTTTGCAACATGGGCACTTGTTCACATACTTTCTCTTTTTTACTTACTGTCTGACACTTTAGCATGAAACCATTTCCCATATTTAGCTAATCCATTAAAGCAGGAATGGGCAACCTCTGTATTCTTTAGGTCACTCCAGACTGTGGTCCAGACTATCTCAACAGCCTTGCAGGCACTCAGGGTCAGCACCATCTAACAGCAAGGATTCCACATTTGCAGATTTAATACACATTTGTGTATAACTGAGGCATTATTGTACAAGACCCAAATAGGTGTAAACATCAGAAGTGTGGAACACCACTGTATCTCACAACTTTTGAAAAAAATATGTTTTCCTCATGAGGGAATGTATGGACAAAATGTCTATCATACCTTGGACAAAAGTTGGTAGGACTATTGGGATCCAGACAGTATTGCTTTTTGGTCCTGGGTATCCCTATGTTAATCTATATCAAGTCCTCCCAGCCAGTTCCTCACATCTTTAGAGTACTATATAGTATGCTTGTGAAAAAAGGTACAAAAGTAATTGGCTCCAGGGTACAACCTTCAACGTAGCTATTTCCTTTTCTAAGCCCTTTCTTTACAAGCAATAGTTCTCCCCAGTCAGGTGTCTCTCCTCACCCCCACCCCCATTTATGCAGAACAAAAGTCCTTGCAGTTGGGGAAAAGCACATATTTCCCCTCCTCAGGCTCTTTTTCAAAGCAATAATATATTATTCTAGTTGCCCACATATTATGTGAATTCACTGATCCAGTGTGTTCGACAATGCCATTGTTGTCAGTCTATCATCTCAGGATGTTTGCACTTGAAATAATGTCTTAAGGAATATGGTACATATTCATTTACCCAGCACACTTCAGAAGATGAGGTAGGGAAACAAAAGGTTTGGGGGCAAATAGGATCTTAGATAAATAGTGCTATTTTTGCAGGGGAGAGTGGGAAAGGCAAGAGAGTAAAAGTTGGCAATCAGGTGAAGACCCCAAACCAAGCTTTCTGTTCTGGGACGTTTACAGGTCAATAGCTGATGAATGCATATTCAGGAAGAAATTAATAGCTGAGAAACTGATGATTAGTTTCTAATCATAACACATGTTTAGTAAGAAGATGAATGCTGTCAAAACTCTTGCAATCGGGAGTGAGGTCTGAGAGAAATCCTGGTTGCAAAAGAAAAAGCTTTGATACAGTTGAGTGTGTGTGGAATCAGCGAAGCCACCCAAAAAGATGAAACCAAGGGTGTGGTTTAAAAGTGGTTGAAGGCAATGCCGTGTTATGCTAGAACTCTAGCAGGGACAAAGTGTGAAAGATACCCCTTCTATTCAAAATAAGTAACCCTACCCCCAGCTCTAGTTTTTAAAGGGAGAAAAGGTGTGTTGCTCTAAACAAGGCTCTAGGAAAGTTGCACTTCACCAAGGAGGTAGACCTGGAGTCTGCCTGATTAGCAGGGCACATAAGCAATGAAATCACAGCAGTCTTCAATTCACAGTGTGGCAAGACAACTCCGAAAGGCACTTGAAACAGGGCTTACAGCAGTGTAGGCCCCTTAGTGGTCCGGGGCAGAGAAGGAAAGAAAGACCTGCTTTCAAGTTCCATGAGCTTCTTAGTAGATGACGTTCTCCATGGTGAACTGACACTCTGAGGAGGAGGCGTAGGAGACAGGTGTGGCGTCGATGAACTGTAGTTAATATAGCTGGCCATAAGGAGAGTCACTTCAGCAATCTGTTGGGAAGGTGAAAGGAAGAAAAAAAAAGTATTCCAATAAAATTGATTTTCTTGGACCAACTTGTAAGCTGACCTTTTGATACAATCACCCCATGCTATAAAATGGGACATAGCGCTATTATATAAACAGGTCCATCCAGCTCAGTTTTGTCATTTGTCAGTTTTGTCATGTGATTGGCAGCTGCACTTCACAGCCTTGGGCAAAGATATTTTCAAACTCAGCTACCTAAAATCCTTTAACCAGAGATGTCATGCATTGGCCAGTGTTCTTTGTTCAACTCACTGTGCATACGTGATGCATGTATGATTTATAATTTGAACATTTTGAGAGGAATTTTATTTCCCACAGAGAATAGGTGCTTATTATAACTGTAGGCCAGTTAGAAAGGATGTATGCTTTGGTGAGTCACACCTTTCTGTAGAAGAAAATGTGAAAAAGCAAATATCAGGTTTCTGATTTAATGCCCAGACTGAGTAGCCTAGTCTCAGGCCACACTTCTGAGATTTTACAGGGCATAAAACCCAGGATAAAGGTACTGCAGTGTTAATTATGCATTTAATAATGTAATTTAGATGTCAAACTGCACACAAGAGCTCAGGGAAGGCAATTTATGCACTAGGAATAATAGTAATATAATATATAAATAAGTAACTTCCTAAATATACATTTCCAAATTAAAAAGGTCTTTCTTCACCACATGGAACTTGTTGAGGCTTGGAAGAAACTTGGAAGGACCAACACTTCAGAGCTACCACTGCGTGCTTGATGCACCAAGAACACACACATATATGCCTTTTTCTTCTGGCCCTATCCAGAGAAAGGAACATCAGCTGCCTTCTGGGGTTTTATATTCAATGTATGTTCAATAAAAAAAAGAAATTCCCCCACTCTGCTTTGTACTCACCTTTACAGCTGCCATTGTAAAAAGTAGTTTTTCAGGAGTGGTTTTGCCAGAGCACCTGTCCTTCACTTGACTGACCACAACCATAAAGTCATCGTGACAGCCTCCAAAGGTCAGTACAGAAGAGTACGAGTAAGCCAGCTTTAAGTGCTTCATGTAAGCAAAGGATAAGATGATTAGGGACAATAAACTGCTACATAAGAGCATTGGTCTTCTACACCCTCCTCTAAACGGTTTTAGGAATTGTCTAAGCCTCGTTCATGAATAGGTTTGAACAAGTCTCTCAGTCTGAATTTCTCAAATGAAATAATAATGACAGTAAAGCATAACAGAATGCCACACAAATGGTTAAATCATAAAATGTGTATAATCCAGTTTTGGTTTTTTTAAGTGCATGCCATGTTGAAGCAGCAGTTAGTAGTGTGACTTTAATGAACTGGAAGTCCATAAACTGAGAGCGGCTTTTTCTTGAAATCATCTGATTTCTCTCTTATTGCCTCTGGTTTTATTTGCCACTATCTTTCCTAAAGAAACAGTTTATTTTATAAACAGTTTATTTAATAAACACACCTGATTCAGCCAAATAAATTGTTTTGTCCTATTCTGTAATCAGAGTCAATGACAGAATGTACGCCCAGTTTCTGTCCTGCATGATTATTGAAATGTGGTTCTGGAGAAAAGAGCTGAAATTCCTCTGCCACTGTTTCTCAACATACCAAAGTATTATATTCCAGTATACTGATTCCATCTTCATTCACAGCTATCCAAAGTGGAGAGTCTTCCAAGGGAGAAGGTAGGACAGGCTGGGGAAATAAAAAGACACAGTAATTTATAATGTCATGCTACCATGGAGGGATAATAACAACTGATAAGTATATGTGGGTTCATATTATCTCGTACACATTATTAACTATATCATATCTGTTGAAAGCCTGTATCACAGTGTGCATTACTGTTTTTAAGAAGATGCATGCTGGTTTCAGTTTTTTTAGAATCTTTAGGACAAGAGAGGCCCAGATTTATTACTGATGGTAAACTAGCATTTTGCTATTTCAAGGGAAGTTACATTGACTGCGGAAAGTGAATGGAATGCATGTTGTTGCCCTGATTTGGGGGTTTTTTTTTTTGGGTAGTTTTAGTAGCACTTTGTTAATCAAACACCTATTCAGTATCTCCATACAAATAAATCTCCCGGTCCAACCCTGAATGGTGATGAAATACAGTAGTGTTGTAATAATTTCAAGCTGCTGCAGGAATATTATTAGGAGGGAAAAACAGGAGTCTTATATCAGGACAGACCATTGGCCTATCTAGTTCAGTATTGTGTACACTGAAAGGCAGCAGCTCTCCAGAATTTCAGACCAAGGCGAGAAGAAAATGGTCTGTCATATTGTCTGGAAAACTTCTTAGTTTCCATTTTAGCTCAATAAGGATTTTCACTGGCTTGCCTTAGATACATCGTAGGGCTGGATGGAAGTAACCCCATGAGCTAGCGGAAGTGAGCAGGACTCCTGCCAGCACAATGAAGCTTCCTTGCCCTCTGTGTCCACCAGATCTACTCTGGAGGGTCATGAGAAACCCCAGAACAGAGGGCGTGGGGAGGAGAGGAGAGATCAGGAAGCAGAAATGTTTGTGCTGACAGAATGATTAATGGCACCCTCCATTTGCTTAAGTTGTTATTACGGTAATAATTCAAGGGCAGTGGCAAAAAATCTTACTGCATTTATTATGTAAGTGTGAAAGTTTCAGAGAGGTAAAACTCTTGACAAGTAAGATTTGGATCATTTATCCTGCTTGTCTGCTAAAGCTAGTTTTCATTGCAATTTCCAAAGGCTATGTGATGATGTAGCGACCCCTAGTGGTAGGAAGACTAACAGCTTGAAAACACTGTCCCTTATCTATACCGTATCCCTATTTAAAATAAATAAATAAACCCAGTGTCTTCCCAGCTATGACACAAGATCCAGTATGTTATCCCAAAATGATATTCTGTGGAATATAGTTCGATAAAACGTGTTTGTGCATAAAAACACAGCATTACCTTAGCAGGAAACAGTTTGGCTCCAAAAAGAGGCCATTTCCGAGCCACAGTCAAATGGATCCGAATGCATTCTTGTGGGGAGCATCCCTGCAACGCCATCCACTTTGTAGCCAGTCGGTCAGCCAGCCGCCTATAGGAATAAGATCAATCTGTCACCTTTTTCAGCAACGGGCTTATAAAAATAGATACATTAATATAGTATCTGTCACCTAAAGGACTCAAAGTAATGCTTTTCAAAATATTAGACGGTGGAGTCACTACAGTATAGCAAAAGAGTGCAGAACATAGCACTTTTCACGCGCAAGCCACCAGACTTTTGTTTACATTTCAGCCACTGCAAGATTTCACAAGTGGACACCTGATTCTGGAAGTTTGCAAAATGAGTCAGACATTATGCTTGGATGCAAAGTTTGCAAATCAACAAGGGTGTAGGAGCCCCAAGGCTCCACTTAATCTGCTTCTGGAGACAGCAGCTGTTCCCACTTCAGAATGCTGTGCTGCTGACCAGGGGCACTTCCACACAGTCACTGTTTGCAGGTGGGATTCAGTCACATAGCAGCAAATACAATGAAAGCTGATTTGGAGCTCTTGCACAACAAACTCACTTCCCAGAAAGATCAGATTATTTTTTTGAGGTAGGAAAAATGAGGGGGAAATGCACTAGGAAGTGTGGGAGAGACTTGCTTTGATGCAACATTGCCTAGCCACGCCCCCCTGCAAACAATTCAGAGTAAACGCCCATCAAATAGCCAAGGTTATCCAATCTCTCAGCAAACAAATCAGGATGAATGATCACTGAACAGATCATCTGTTAACAAAGGGCAGACTCTAACGAAGAGCCTGCTTTTTTCTACCCAGAAAGAGGTGTCAAATTTTAAAAGCAGTGCTTTTCTTCTAGGGAAAAAAAGGTGCCGGTATTGCGTACCCTTGAGTACCCCCCCACAAAGAAAACACTGTTTATAAGAGGTTTAACAAAAGGAACATAACTTTGAATCTACCTCTCATTTAAATCAGAACCAGTGAAGGCTGTGAATATCCTGTGTGAGTGTCTGGACGCAGTTGGAGGATGGATGGTGGCTAACGGATTGAGGTTGAATCCTGACAAGACAGAAGTATTGCCACAGGGGGAGGGGTGGGGGTGGGAGACTACCTGGTTTTGAATGGGGTAGTCATTTTGAAGATGGGAGTCATTTTGGACTCATAGCTGTCCATGGAGGTCAATTCTCTGTCCAGGGCAGCTGTCTACCAGCTCCATCTGGTACACAGGCTGAGACCCTACCTGCCTGCAGACTGTCTCGCCAGAGTGGTGCATGCCCTGGTTATTTTCCGCTTGGACTAATGCAATGCTCTCTACATGGAGCTACCTTTGAAGGTGACATGCAAACTACAACTAATACACAATGAGGCAGCTAGACTGGTGACTGGAAGTGGCTGCCAGGACCATATAACACCGGTCCTAAAGGATCGTCACTGGCTCCCAGTAGGTTTCCGAGCACAATTCAAATTGTTGGTGCTGACCTTTAAAGCCCTAAATGGCCTCGGCCCTGTATACCTGAAGGAGCGTCTCCACCCCATCATTCAGCCCAGACACTGAGGTCCAGCTCCGAGGACCTTCTGGTGGTTCCCTCACTGCGAGAAGTGAAGCTACAGGGAACCAGGCAAAGGGCCTTCTCGGCAGTAGCACCCTCCCTGTGGAACACCCTCCCATCAGATGCCAAGGACATAAAGAACTACACAACTTTTAGAAGACATCTGAAGGCTGCCCTGTATTGAGAAGTTTTTAAAGTTTGATGTTTTATTATGTTTTTATATGTACTGGATGCTGCCCAGAGTGGCTGTGGAAACCCAGCCAGTTTGGCGGGATATAAATAAAATCCTCATCCTCATCCCCAGTTTGAGAGTGTCAAGTTGGTATTATTTGAAGCTGTGAGTCTGTCTTCCTTTATAGGATGCAAGTGTGTGCTTTGTCTTACTAATCAGAATTTCTAAGTGATAGGTGTGTGTTCATTCAATGATAATTAAAGGTAAAGGTAACCCTGACCTAGGCCAAGTCGCAGACGACTCTGGGGTTGCGCGCTGACCTCGCTCTATAGGCCGAGGGAGCTGGTGCTTGTCCACAGACAGCTTCCAGGTCATGTGGCCAGCATGACTAAGCTGCTTCTGGAGAACCAGAGCAGTGCACGGAAATGCCATTTATCTTCCCGCCGGAGCAGTACCTATGTATCTACTTGCACTTTGATGTGCTTTTTGAACTGCTAGGTGGGCAGGAGCTGGGACTGAACAATGGGAGCTTACCCAGTCGCGGGGATTTGAACCGCTGACCTTCTGATCAGCAAGCCCTAGGCTCTGTGGTTTAGACTACAGCGCCACCCGCGTCCCAGATCAATGACAATTAGCTAAACTCAACCCTTGTATTTGCATCTTATTTTTAAATATAGAATTTGATTTTTTAAATAAAGTTCAAAATAAAAGACTAAAAAGAAAAACAGCATATAGCAATGCAAGATGAGCACTAGATAATATTTTATTTTTAGCTCAAAACTCCATATGGCAAAAAGCAGGCAGGCATGCTTACTCTTCTTACCTTAGCTGCTCTGCAGTAGTGCTATGCTTGTAGCGCTTGGGATAGAATTTGTCCAGGACCTGCTGGAGAAGATGTTGCATTTTGGAGTGGGATGACCTTCCAGGACTTGAGGGTACTGGCCGATCTAAGTCTCCATATTCCACCTGGGGGGGGGGAATACATCAAAACAAACAATTGTTTTGTGCAAGTGATTAGTGTGTGAGTGCTTCTCTCTCTTTCTCTCTCTCTCTCTCTCTCTGTGTGTGTGTGTGTGTGTGAATGTGGAAGGCAAGCAACTATCAGAGGCATAACAAATAAAGAAGGTAACGTAGAAGTTCTAAACAGTAGACTAGAATTCAGATTAACAACTGGGATCTGCTCCTTTTCAGGGTTCCATTGCCCTGTCATGCTTTCTTCTGGGAAAATTCATTCCATTCTCCCTCCTTGGTTTTCTGTTCCTACTCCCTCAAAAACTCAGTTTGTGACAAGTGTTGGATCAACATCTTAGCTAAGCCTAGTCATGTATTGCACTACCGGCAACTCCCCACTTGTGTGGGGATTGTGTTCCTGGCTGCAACATGTGTCAACGGGATGCGCGGAAGTTTGACCCACCCCATTCCACCCCTGTCTCCTTGCAGCACTGAAAACAGCACATGTGCCAGTGGTCACATGTGTGCCATTTGTCGGTGCCTGTAGTGGACCCTGCTGTGCTTTACCAGCTTGTAACCTACGCTGTACTGACTTCATCAAGAAAACTTGTAAACCTTGGAGGAGTGGTGGCATCACCGAGGCAAGATGGTCTTTTGATCCAAAATGAAGTCTTGCTCAAATTTTTAACAGCCCCAAGCAGGCTATGAGCTGCAGAATCGGAGGATCACAAAGCAGCACTCTGGACAACTGGTTTTCACCGCCATCTCAGATCATCAGAGAATCACAAGCCCAAGCAACAGCCGATTCCAATGTGGCTACCAGCGCTCAATGCAATGAAAAAAACAACAACCCAGAGAGACCAGAAGCTCCATTTGATATGGCAGCTTTAGCTGCCCTAATTAAAAGAACTGCCCGAGGGCTGGGGTAAAGCACTGACGCTGCTGAGAGGAGATATTTTAAAACGCACCCAATCTCAGATGTTTCCACAATAGTTTTTCAAACAATCAAATGATGGGACAATCGCTACACCCAAACTTAGCCCTACTATCTTTACTCCTCAGATTAAGAACATAACCAATAAAGACCTTATCCTCCATTTATCAACTGCAGCTAGATAAGTGATTGTCAAAAATCAGAAAGCTCTAAATGCAAATCTTTTTTGAAGCCTGGATTTTGCAAGTATGGGACACTGTGCGTAAGGACAAACTCCATTTTCACAGTAAGAATACTGATCAGCATTGTGGGGGATGACTCACACTTTCTGTACGACAGGGTAGCCTTTTATTGACTTTGTTAAGAGAATCAAACATGGTTTTCACCCTCCATCAACTCATGGAGCATTATGGAGAGACACTTTCTTTTGACGGCTATTTTTCTTTCTTTTCTGTACAACTGCTAAGTCCTGTTTTCTTTGTATGGGTATTTTTTTTTTTTTTTGCTACTTGAAATTTAAAATCAATAATAATAATAATAATAATAATAATGTGGGTTAAACCACTGAGCCTAGGGTTTGCCGATCAGAAGGTCAGTGGTTCGAATCCCCGTGACGGGGTGAGCTCCCGTTGTTCGGTCCCTGCTCCTGCCAACCTAGCAGTTCAAAAGCACATCAAAGTGCAAGTAGATCACGGCGTTTCCGTGCGCTGCTCTGGTTCGCCAGAAGCAGCTTAGTCATGCTGGCCACATGACCCGGAAGCTGTACGCCGGCTCCCTCGGCCAATAAAGCGAGATGAGCGCCGCAACCCCAGAGTCGGTCACGACTGGACCTAATGGTCAGGGGTCCCTTTACCTTTACCTTAACCACTTCCTCCACAGTGAAACCAACTGTAAGATTTGGTTGTGATGCCTATGAATAAATCTTCCTTATGCTGATGGAAACAACAACTTTTAAACCTCCAGTTGTGAACATTTATGAGTTCCAAGTCCAGGACACGGACCAGATCCAGACCTGCTTAGCTTCAGCAAGACCGTGTCTTCATGTGCATTTGAACCAAACCGTAGCTTTAGAACCACTGCCTACTCCTACATGCTACGCAGAGATAGAGAACTTTATAGCGGTCACATAAAAATATTCAAGCTCTATCTGTGGTTCCTCTTCTAGCTTGAGGGAGGGCATGTGGTTTTTTCTGCCTTGGAACCACCAGTGACCTTATTGCTCCTTGACACCCACAAGCATGAGGGTTTGGCCACTCACCTGAGCCATCAAAGCTGCCATTTCCAGAGCCAGCTCCTTATTGACAGGGAATCTCCCACTGGCTATTTCCCCACTAATCTGGAAAGCCAGCAGCAATCGTTCTCGGTCCGTCTCACCTTTTGCTTGGCTTCGGAAATACAACCTAAATGGGCGAAAAATGCCAAAGAGGAAAAAGAAACACGCCAACCACACCTTAGCATAGCATCTAGACCTTGCTCAGTCTAAGTACAATGAGGCTTTACTTACAGCTTTAAAGCTAATGTCGTATCGGGGAGATTACTCAGGGCACAATCCCCAGGGAAGTTTTCCTGCACAGACCTGCACATCTCCAGTTAATTTCAAGGGAATATGTGGAGGGGAATTTTTTTGGCAGGGACTTCTCTATTTTTATTGCTATAAGGAAGCACACTTAACAGAAGTGATGGGTCACTGTTGCTTACCAGAAAGGAGAAGGGGAAGGGTGGTGCAAGTGCACCAGCAGAGCCAATCCAGCCAATGTCAGTGCTTTTGCACCACACCAGCCTCCCAGCTGCCTCACCAGCTCCCTCCTAGTAAGCAATGGCAGCTCCGCCCCACCCAGTAAGCCGCATCTGGTACTTAACAGTTGAATAAAAACAACAGCCCTTTTACATCTGTTTCTCCACCCCAATATACCACATCCAAAAGCATTTCTAATAGGACATGTTGATAAGTCCCAGTTAAGCAGCCTGAATTGGAACTTCTGCATCCAAATTTCAGTTAGGAGAATTTCCTCAATAATCCCCCCCCACAATTAATTTCAGTTCTAGTTAAATAACAGAAGTAAATATAAAGCTGGATCAAACCTTAAGCTCCACAAGACATAGGGCTGCAATACCAACCCAAGCCAGCAGTGGGCAGTACCTGTTTTTATACGTTAGTTTCACGATTCTCGTGCCACCTTCATATTTTCCAGGATTCAACTCTTTCAGAGCTTGCTCCCACTTTGAAATGACATCACAGACCTTTAAAAGATAACAATAAAGGAGACTGAATGAGGCTGAAGACAGATAGAAACTTCACGCTAGACATGCGTAAAAACAGCACAGGTCATAGGACAGTACTGCAAACCTGGGCTCATTTCAGTGAGACATGAATCCTTATAAAATACTGAAATTTGAAAAGGATTTAGAAATAAGCATACCCACTGTGATAATATTTGAACAGGGACTATTTAGAAGCCATGAAAAGCTTTTAACTATTTCTTTGGACAACAAAACAAATAAATAAACAAGAGAGTCAGTGCCAACATATTTTCAATTAAATATTTACAGATGTGTATGCTGTATATATAACAAACAAAATATTCACCTTTCTTTCCATCAAAAATAATTCCATAACATTAGTCTAGTTAAATAATAATCCTTACTCAATACTAAAGTAAATACATGATAATATACTTACTGAGTTTATATTCAGTTAATGTGTTTGTGGGAGGGGCGGTTATTGGATTATATTGGTTTTTTGGGGTTATGTATTTTGTGTTCTCATCATCTGAGGCACTTGTTCATGTGCCTCCTCCACAAGATGTCCAGAGAGTGGCAAGACAAGAACAGGCCTTTTCTGCAGTGGCTCCCCGCTTGTGGAATGCTTTCCCCAGGGAGGCTCAACTAGCGTGCCAGGCAAAAACGTTCATCTTCTCACACGCCTTTGGCTAATTAAACAATCTATTGACTTTTAAACTGTGTGTGGCAGGGTTATCGCTTTTGTTTGTTACTGTACTATGTGTTTTTGTGTTTTTATATTGTAAACCGCCCTGTGATCCTCAGATGAAGGGTGGTATAGAAATTTAATTAATAATAATAATAATAATAATAATGAGTAATCATGCGTAATCACCTTCATAGGGCCTTGTAGGCAGTGTTCTAGATCCCTACCAGAAGGATCGTCTGTAAATAGGTAAAACCCTGAGTTTGACGACAGCCTCATTCCTGTCTCCTGGTTCAGCTGCTGCAAGAACTCATCCACGGTTGAGGAGCCATCAAAACCGACCACCTGAAATGAAACAGTTGAGAAACAATCATGAAGACAAAATCATTGCTGATGGGTGAGCACATGGACACAGTTTAGCTGTACAGATCCATCGGCAAGCATAACCCATGGCAAATTCTGTACTGAGGCGGAAGAGGACATAATGGGTCATTTTACCCAGCCTTGAAATCTTCTCAGTGTAAAGTCACCCAGCCCTCTTGTCTCACCTGGTAGGTTCCATTCATGAAGTGTACTGGGATGCTGAAGGGGAGTGAGTGGTGGTAGGGATTCCTCAGCAAAATGGACACGACTTCCATTCGGGAAGGTCTAGCTTCTCGCTCTCTAGCTTTCAAAGTGCGCTCCATTGATCTTCGACAGTAGATGGCATACTTGCCTATTTCGGTTCTAAATCACAGAATCGGGGGGGGGGGGGAGTAAAATATGTTTCAGAAACACCCATTGCACTATTGCAATTATTGCTTTTTCCATAACTATCATGCTGTTGCATGTCACCAGGGGTTCCAGGTGCTCACCCAGGGTCAGTGTTTTCTTTTGGAAATGAGGCACAGCAGAGACTGTGGTGTTTTTATGATATATGGTTTATTCACACATATATGCAACCTGAGCCTGCAATGGAGGGCTTCACAGCATTAACACCCCCAAATGGTATTATTTCTCCCATAGCCGCAGCCATGGATTCAAAATTAAACATTTCTTCCATTAGCGAGAATAAGTTGAATAATAAATAATAATAATAATAATAATAATAATAATAATAATAATAATAATAATAATTTATTATTTGTACCCCACCCATCTGGCTGGGTTTCCCCAGCCACTCTGGGCGGCTTCCATAGAAACCAAAAATACACTAAAATATCACACATTAAAAACTTCCCTGAACAGGGCTGCCTTAAGATGTCCTCTGAATGTCAGGTAGTTGTTTATCACGTCCTATTAGATCCATTCATAAAAACTGACTCCAGTTTAACCCAAACAAGACAAGCACTTCACCTGGGGTCTGCATGCTGCTGTAGGTGATGCTTGAGATACCAAAGGAAATGTTGCTGAGGCAGGAAGAGAGGAGCGCAAAGAGCTAGTAATTGCCAGCACTGTGAAGAAAAACAGGGTTACTGTGAATAAAGCCACCATTTCTGTTGTCCCTGCCATTTATTCTCAAGACAAAAATATCATCTACCCAATTCTCCTGGATGGTTGATTCACACATCACAAATGCTACCGAAGCAATAGTTTTGAGGGAGGGAGCCAGTTTTGCAAAGGATATATACTAGTGTAAATAGATACAACTCTACCAGGGGAGCAGCAATTTGCTGAGGTTGCTTGCCTGGGTGCCCTTACGTTTTAAAATATGCTTCAGGTCCCATCAAACATGAAGAAGCCTTATTACAAGGACTTCATTCCATCACGATCAGACCAGTATAAGGTCTAAGCTAGGCATTAGGTGAGTAGATCTGTATTCAGGTTTTCTGAGGCAGTGATCAACCACTTTTCAGTGTTACTGTGGAGGCTTCCATTCTATATCCAGTGGAGCTGAATGAGTATGTCCTGACTTTACCTTTTCAGTTATCATTTCTCAGGCTTTGTTTGCATGTTACCCTTCTGCAGGGAATCAAACTACTTATCACACATGACCAAAAAAGAAAAAAGGTTTCTGTGGAAATAAATACAATTGCCTCCAGCGCAAATGCAAACATGTTAAGAAGTTCTCTGTTAATAAGTCATTTAAATTCAGACGTGGCAATCAGCACCTTGAACAGGGGAACATTCACCTGGATGACGGAGTGATTCTGAGCTTCCCTGCTGGTCTGTTTGACTAACTGACAATAGATTTCATTCTGTAGCTCACTGTGAGTCAGGCAGACCTGGAGTGCTGTCTGAGCCAGGGTCACATGATAATCAATAGATGGAGCTTCCACAGGAATGTTGATAAACAGCTGGCAAGACTGATAAAGGGGGGTGGAGAACAGAAGTACATTAACTGAGATGGAAGCGATAGTATCATTAAGCTTTCCTCACAACCATTAACAAGTTTATAATCTACAACAACGATGATGACGACGACTACAATGGAACCTCAGTTTCTGAACGTAACCTGTTCTGGAAGTCCGTTTGACTCCTGAAATGTTTGAAAACCAAGGATCAAAGGGCTGGTTGCAAAGTCAATGGGAAAAAATGAAAAGCGCGCCTTGGAAGCCGTTTAACTTCCAAGGCGCATTTGAAAATGGAAGCATTCACTTCCGGGTTTTGGGTGTTTGGCTTCCGAAATGTTCGGCAGCCGAGACATTCAAAAACCAAGGTTTGACTGTATTTAGATAGGGCCATCAGCATGCACTGCATTTCACAGAAGAGATTATAAAATGACATGTCCCTGCCCCAAAGAACTTACAATTCAGTATATGGCACAGGAAGTGAAGCAGAGGCAGGGGCTTAACAGGGAAACAACATGTGGTTGTTTCAGTTGCACATGCTAAGTTACAGTCTGTGTTATTGTAGGGGGTAGGAACTAGGGGACTGTGTCAAAGGCTTCATGAAAAGGGTATTGAAAGATTTGAATTAAGCAAGATAATGGGCATAGGTGTTTCCAAAAGGCAGTTCCAAGATTATGGGGCAGCAAGAGAGAAAGGGAAGAGTTTTAAGTTGCTTTTGGGCCTTGTGCAAACTTGACTCTCCCTTTCATCTTTCTTCAATAATAAAATAAAATGCTTGAATAGTATATGTGGAGAGCCGTCTCTGTAAATACCTTGAAGAGTTTGAGGGCCTCTGTCTGCAGGGCTTCTGAAGGCAGAGTGGTGAGGGAAGCCTGCAGCCCCTCTTTGCTGTAACACAGCATAGGATGTTTCCACAAGGGAGAATCTGCATTAGTGGGAGGGACAAAGCTAGTTAGATGCTGCACAGGGCAAGGGATATTGCAAAGGAATATTAAAACTCTGGCAAATGAATCAGAAGTTGAGAGCACCACGCTACTTCATCAGCATCTTTGGACTTAGAGCCATTCAGCACAGTTAGAAAATAGCACAAAGCACAGCCCACCTGGGGCCATCCCATTTCAAAATGCAGGTGAGGAACTATGTGCTTGAATTTTCTGCCATGTTAAAAACTCTGCACTAATGGAAATGCAGGACATTGGGGAGAAGGTCAGGCTACAATTCTTCTCCCAGACTTGCTAGGTTTCAACATGCAGGGAGTTTTGTTACAGAATATCTTTTAAATATTAGGCACTCACCTGCATTCTCAAGCAATGTGCCCTGAGCATGTAAAGGTAAAGGTAAAGGTACCCCTGACCGTTAGGTCCAGTCGCAGACGACTCTGGTGTTGTGTGCTCATCTTGCTCTGTAGGTTGAAGGAGCCGACGTTTGTCCGCAGACAGCTTCTGGGTCATGTGACCAGCATGACTAAGCTGCTTCTGGTGAACCAGAGCAGCACACGGAAATGCCGTTTACCTTCCCGCCAGAGCGGTACCTATTTATCTACTTGCACTTTGACGTGCTTTCGAACTGCTAGGTGGGCAGGAGGAGGGACTGAGCAACGGGAGCTCACCCTGTCACGGGGATTCAAACCGCTGACCTTCTGATCGGCAAGCCCTAACTTTTCTGATTAACACAACACAACAGCAAAAAGGCCACTTATAGAAAGATCTCGTTTTAGTTGTGAGGAGAGCACCATTTAGTATTTTTATCTTTTATAGTCCAAATATACTGCATTTAATTAAGGCAGGGTTCCTCAACCTTGGTCCTCCAGATGTTTTTGAGACTACAGTTCCCATCATCCCTGACCACTGGTCCTGCTAGCTAGGGATCATGGAAGTTGTAGGCCAAAAACATCTGGAGGTTGTCCAAGGTTGAGCAAGCCTGAATTAAGGCTCTGTTACTCTACGTCTGGCCAGGGCAAGGATGGGAGAAGAACTGTCTTTACAGTCTATTTAGTTGGATTTTGCACATTCATTGAGCCTGCTCACCACTGTGGAGATGTCATAAGAGGAAGAAAGTATCTATCTGCCAGAACATTTCCAATTCCTGTGCTTCAAAATTGTCTGTTACAACCTTGGATCAGGAGGAGGGGAAGCCACCATGTTGACAAATGACAGCAGCACAACAAGCTATTTGGGAAAAATATTTCCCTTTCTACTTACTTGGGTCTCCTTCTGCATCTAGTAGCTTCCCAATCAGCTGCTCATACGCAGTGCCTGCCTTTGCACTGCTACTTCCTGCTGCTACTGTCAGATGGTACAACCAGGTATCCTTAGAATAAAAGGGCAAAGAAAACTGAGCTGAAAATCTCATAGGCTCAACCTAAGAACTTTAAACATATAGCATACCATCTGGGTGTATCATTTGGCACCACTGATAGACGTACAGGGCTAATTTCTTCAGCCTCCAGCAAATGCAGCTTGTTTCTCAGTCTATAACAGGGACGCACTCCTTCCCTCACAACTGGAGGGAACTTATACTTTGCAAGCACTAAAATTGCAAAGATTTTGTACCTGGGAAAATATGATTGTCACATTTTCCCAGCAAAGCATATCATAGTTAATGTTCCATTGCTGATAATCTGGAGCCCTCCCACGAGTATGTAATAGAATAGGTACATTTTAAATAACGGAATTTATTATTTAAAATGCATCTATTCTGTAATGCTGTTAATTATCATTTTCCTAAATACCTTCTCCTGTTTGGTACGAATGAGTAGGTAGGTGGGACTCTGCTCCGGAGGGTGAATAACCAGGGTGCAATGGGAAGAAAGTAGCCCCCCACCATTAGCCTCATAATCTTCATCGGAATCACAGGAGCGATCAACTTCTTCCACCTTTGATTCCCGCAGGTGCAAATGGCCAAGGGGGCACTGAGAAAAGAAGGCCAAACAGGTTAATCTGCATGGTAGAAAATACATGTGTGCATTAAATCAATAAATAGTAATAAAAACAGGAGGTTATAGGCTGTGTAAGGAGCTATTGGCTAGGACCGATGAGAAAAACGCTGAATATAAAAGCGGATTAAAAATACCTTGTCTTCCTGACTGCGATAATAGTAAAATGTTTTTCCAATCAGCGCACACCAAACCAGCTTGGAGTGTCCATGTTTCACCTGCAGAAACAGCCCAGGAATAAAAAGATTTTCTTTCAACTTGTTTGCATGGCTTCATTCATTTTTCTGGAAAAGTTAGAATTGCACACACACACTTTTCTATCTTTCTCCCTCTTTGATAAAAAAAACCATAATGATTATTGTGTTTTGAAATATAGTTTTGAAGATCTACAAAGGAAAGGATATTCTGCTTCCTATTAAAGATTCTTTAATTTAAATTCTTGTTTAGTAATAAGACACTGTTGAGTTTGATCATGTTCCTACTTAGACCAACTTGGTTTGGCTGTCTAGGTTTAAATTCCAACCCGTAGAAACTGCTGTACTAAAACACTGCTTCAATAATAAAAAATAAAATAAAATAAAATAAATAAATAAAATAAAATAAAATAAAATAAAATAAAATAAAATAAAATAAAATAAAATAAAATAAAATAAAATAAAATAAAATAAAATAAAATAAAATAAATAAATAAATAAATAATAATAATAATAATAATAATTTATTATTTATACCCTGCCCATCTGGCTGGGATTCCCCAGCCACTTTGGGCGGCTTCCAACAAAACACTAAAATACAATAACCTATTAAACATTAAAAGCTTCCCTAAACAGGGCTGCCTTTAGATGTCTTCTAAAAGTTTGGTAGTTATTTTTATCTTTGACATCTGGTTGGAGGGCGTTCCACAGGGCGGGCGCCACTACCAAGAAGGCCCTCTGCCTGGTTCCCTGTAACTTGGCTTCTCGCAGCGAGGGAACTGCCAGAAGGCCCTTGGCGCTGGACCTCAGTGTCAAACCTTGTCCGGGGGGCTGGGGATGTCCAACCATCATGTAGGAAACCATCATGTCAAATTGTCCCCAACCAGCTACATGGAGAAGCCCTGGTCTGCTTAAGACAGTAGAACCTTGCTCTGAGGAGCTTTTTATTTTGGCTGCCTTCAGGCTGCTACAGTATACTCAGCAAAGCAATGAAAAAGTAGCTCTTGAAAGGGCCAGACCCTGCTTCAGCCAAAGCTCTTCTGCTCAGCCCACACCTGAGATGGTGAATCCGAGTTCAAAGTCTATGTGAACCAACCTATCAATTAAGTATTGCAACAGTAGGTTTGTTACAGTCTATCAATGCTGGGTTTAATTCTTTTGCGTATTTACTGTAGTGGATGTTAATCTACCTGTGCTGTCCCACAGTTGTGTTGCATCTCAGCCTTTGCTAACCTGGTGCCCTCTATGTATTCTGGGCTACAACTCCCATTAGCTCAATGGAAATTATAGTCCACAACACCTAAGGGGCAGCAGGTTGGCAAAGGCCACTGTTTCTGGTGCAGATATGCAGTACCTTGGTGAGCCAGCCTTTCACAGTGGGTTTGGCATCACTGAGAGGGACTTCCGTAGGACTGGTCGCCTGCACCTTCAGGATGTTTTGAAGGACACAAATCCATTCCTCCAGAATGTTAGGAGAGTCAGCTGACAGGAAATAGGTTCGTTTTTCAGTGATGAGCTAAAGGTGAAGAAAATGTTGCATGTTGCTACAACCAAGCATGAAGGCTTTTGCCATATTAATGTTGTTATTGCAGTAAATAAGTTGCTTCCTAATTTTCTGGCCACAATCACTAGAACCTTTCAAGGCAAGATAAAAGTGCCTTGGGAACATAATAGAGGCACTGTGACTCTTCATCCATTTTGTTACCTGCCCCCCACAAAGCTAGGAAGCTGTTCAGCTATTTCTCCCATTGGCATTGATGAGCTGCCAAAGGGGGGGGGGGAGCAGAACTGCGACGCACTCAGTGAGATGAATTGCCAGTGTGTTGTTTATTATGACACACACCTAAAAATTTAGTTGCTCTTCAATGCCATTCGAGGATATAAAAATCAAGCTAAGTCAGGGGTCAGCAAACTCTTTCAGTGGGGGACCGGTCCACTGTCCCTCAGACCTTGTGGAGGGCCAGACTATATTTTGAAAGGAAAAAAAAAAGAAAAAATTCCTATGCCCCACAAATAACCCAGAGGTGCATTTTAAATAAAAGGACACATTCTACTCATGTAAAAACACGCTGATTCCCGAACCGTCCGTGGGCCGGATTTAGAAGGCAATTGGGCCAAATCTGGCCCCCGGGCCTTAGTTTGCCTATTCATGGGCTAGGTGATATCCAGAGAAGGACTGGCAGCAGAAGAAATTCCAGAAGAAATTCCAGCGGCAGCACTGCTCTGCAAACATTGCAGGAGCACTACTGCAAGTTTTGTACGAAGGGGACATAATAGCATAACAAGATCCCTGCTGGATTAGGCCAAAGGTCCCTTGAAGTCTAACATCCTGTTGTCACAGTGGCTGTGCAGATGCCTACAGGAAGCCCATAGGAAGGACCCAAGTGTAGCAGTGCTCTCTCCCCACTTGGGGAGTATTCAGTGGCATACTGCCTTAGACACTGGAGGTAGAAAATAGCCATCTTGAGTATAAGTGATGTCAGCAGGATTTAACCTTTGTCAAATATGGCTGATAGTTACGAAATTTCGTGTGATGTGAGAATGTATCTGTATCCTCACATCTTCCGATTTTGAAGACAAATTAAGAGAATGGATATGTGGCCCCTGTTGACATTTCTGATATTTTTGCATCTTCTGTTTTTATTTGTGTTTATATTTTATGTATGATGGAATAAATGATGTTTTTTTAAAATTATGTGTAATGAATATGAACAGATCAAAGTGCTGTAATTTAGACGTTTCTGCATTACTGACCGAAGTGCAATAATACTTGGGAGACTTTACAGGAAAGTGGGCTGTGTCAAAACCTTTTTACAGCCTTCTTCAAACATTAAAGGTTAAGTTTACGTTGAGTATTAGGTTTCAGGTCTTCTAGTATATGAACTTAATCTGCCTGATCTTTTCTGCAGGGCAAAACCATATGAAAACCAAGAACTTCAATTCAGGTTTGTCATGACAGGGAAAGTTGTCTCAATTAAAACATTTTCTCTCCCTGCCAATCTCTGTTAGTGCCCTTTAGACTTCAGAAATAAGAAACAAGGTCAAAAGCAATGCTCACTTGGAATGTTTGGGATCCTTCACCCCGTATGATCTGGCAAGAAGAATTCAGTTCCACCTGCCCCTGGGGCTTGCAGATGACATCACTCTGGAGAGAGGAAGGAAATGCAAGAGACAATGAGGAATACAATATAAGGGATGGAGAAAAGGTGGGGCACAACCTCCAGGTAACCTTCTGCATACGTGGCTGGTTTACTATATTCACAGCTGAGAAAGCACCAATGACATGACAATGTTGCTAATAAATATTTTAAAAATTAGGGCTGAAAGCATGCATTGATCAATAAATTAATCAACAGCCCCAGTTTTAGTAGGTGGGACTGTGGGTGATGGTGGTTTTTGTGTGCGTTCTTTGGAGGGAATAATATCTCGATTCTGTTACTGATATTGGGGATAAAAAAATAACATATCAAAGATGGCTAAAGGATGAGTAGTTTATTAAAACTATTGAATATGAGGATTTGCTACTAACTCACCGGGGACTTATAATACATGATCTGTCCATTTCTCAACACAAACCACCGCCTCTTCCATGCCTTCACCTGGTTGCCCATTTTCAGCAAATAGCCAGATTTCTCCAGCGGCTCCTAGATGAAAGAAAAGAGATATATTTTCCTGTGCAATGGACAAGGTGCAAACCAGGGCTGGGGAACCTCAGACCCTCCAGCCCTCTTTAGCTGGATTCCTTTGGGATTTCTCCAAGCCCAGAACTCCTCCCCAGTCACATCCCTCTCCCTAGGCCACACCCCTCACCAGCTGGCAGGCACCGGATTTATTCTATTTGAAAAGGCTGATGCTAAGACAGCCCAAAGTGCAGATGGTGTTGGTGATGGGAGGGATAGCTTACACTGCACACTCCACCATCTGTGGAATAGGATGATGTCCGCTGCAACTTGTGCTCTGGTTCAAAATAATCTTCATCAACGGAGTAGGCATCAGGGGGGATGGCGTAGTCACTCTCCGAGCTTAGCGAAGACATAGAGACACCTGCTAGAAATAAAAAGAAGCCAAGAACATGCATGCTTGCCTGGTTCAGTAAGACCAAGCTTGCATGCAGAACCAAAACTATTGAAACAGGCTCACAAAACTACCAATCATCTAATAGCCTAATTAGGTAAAGGGACCCCTGACCATTGCGGGACGCAGGTGGCGATGTGGGTAAAAGCCTCAGCGCCTAGGGCTTGCCGATCGAAAGGTCGGCGGTTCGAATCCCTGCGGCGGGATGCGCTCCCGTTGTTCGGTCCCAGCGCCTGCCAACCTAGCAGTTTGAAAGCACCCCCGGGTGCAAGTAGATAAATAGGGACCGCTTACAAGCGGGAAGGTAAACGGCGTTTCCGTGTGCGGCTCTAGCTTGCCAGAGCAGCAATGTCACGCTGGCCACGTGACCCGGAAGTGTCTCCGGACAGCGCTGGCCCCCGGCCTCTTGAGTGAGATGGGCGCACAACCCTAGAGTCTGGCAAGACTGGCCCGTACGGGCAGGGGTACCTTTACCTTTACCTTTTTACCCCTGACCATTAAGTCCAGTTGTGGCTGACTCTGGGGTTGCGGCACCCATCTCGCTTTATTGGCTGAGGGAGCCGGTGTACAGCTTCTGGGTCATGTGGCCAGCATGACTAAGCAGCTTCTGGCGAACCAGAGCAGCGCACGGAAATGCCGTTTACCTTCCCGCCGGAGTGATACCTATTTATCTACTTGCACTTTGACGTGCTTTCGAACTGCTAGGTTGGCAGGAGCAAGGACCAAGCAATGGGAGCTCACCCCGTCATGGGGATTTGAACTGCCGACCTTCTGATCGGCAAGTCCTAGGTTTAACCCACAGCGCCACCTGCGTCCCAAATAGCCTAATTACCAGTCATCTAATAACTCAAAATTAATATTACTAGCAAAATGCCTTGATTGCAAAGGCAAAACTGACACGCCTTTTCCCTAGTTATGACCTGTTTTGAGATGTTCATTTTTTTAGAGCTGAAGCAGCAAGATTTCAGCTGGACTAACAGAAGGATTGCAGTAAAGTTTATGAACTTTTCACCATATGCTGGGGAGCTGACTTATAATTTATAGCAGATAAAAGATAATCTCTAGACTGGTTTTTTAAAACACACTTACGTGGCAGTAAGCTCCACTGAAGTGGAAGTGCCTAGAATTGTGCTGCTAGTTCTACTACAGTTGAAACCCCAAATTCCCTGATGATTCTGGTCTGCTACCTGCAGATGCTTTTAAATCATTTTAAAGCTTCTTCTCCCAGCAATCCAGAGAGCAATCCTGCACTTCCTTCCTCTTACCTCGCTTCACTGCACGAGGACTGCCTGGTATGCTTGTTTTTCTGCATTCAGATCCTGCATTGGAGGTTCTGAAGCTGACATGAGAGCTGCAGTCATCATCAGAGCCGGAGGACTCGTCTAGGAAAGGAACGTTGCTGATTTGGGTAGCTTTCTGGAAAACAAGCCTCCAAAGTCAGGATGAAAGGGAACGTAGGCATCACAGTTCACAAGAACCTTTCGTAAACTGCCTTGAGGTTTTTAGTTTTGTTTCTACAGATAAGCAGCATATACATTTTACGAGAAAGAAAAAAAAGAGCTAGCACAAGAAAACCAGTTACATTGTTCTGTCTCTACACTCTGCCCCTAGATCAAAAGAAGCAAGCCCCTCTAGTTGTTCATTTCATTCTCCATGCCCTAGAGCAGGCATAGGCAAACATGGCCCTCCAGATGTTTTGAGACTACAGTTCCCATCATCCCTGACCACTGGTCCTGTTAGCTAGGGATGATGGGAGTTGTAGTCCCAAAACATCTGGAGGGCTGAGTTTGCCTATGCCTGCCCTACCAATGGCAATTAGGGTTAGGGGAAAAAAGACAGAAGCTTAGGAAGGAGAGATACACATCATTTCTGCTTGAATCCAAGGCTGTGGCTATGGGAGAAGCAAGACCTTCTTGTGGTGTTAATGCCATGAGCCCCTCTGTCGTAGGCTCAGGGTGTAAATAAACTGTTTCTTTAAGACACTACAGTCTCTGCTGTCCCTCAATCTCAGGAAACTGTAAGCACTTGGAACGCCTGGAATCCTGCACTGATTGGAGATTGGGTTGGCGTGCAACAACATTGTCTTATTTTAATTAGTATTTAACAGGTTGTGGCAGAAAAAGTATCTCATGGGGGGGGGAAGTAAGCCCACTTTTCCCATGACGTCTTTATGCTATTTTGGGCCTACTTCTGGGTTGTGCATCATTCGGATGCATTTAATGTGATCATTGCCTGTAATTTCAAATGCAAATATGAGCCTAGCTTGAGGTTTTTCTGACTTCTGGGAAGAGGATGAGACCAGGTAGCGTGTGTGTGGTGTGTGTGCAGACATACAGCACAGGCAAGATTCACTTAACGGCTATCTAGACAATTTAAGGTGTAGCCATGCGAGTATGAGACATCTTCATGCATACAAGGAGACTGACCTGGACTGAATGATAGACCTGCAGACAACCTATTGATTGAGCCTTCATCCTGATTTGCTTGCACAAAGTTTACATGGGGGTTAGATTACATGTATGTATGTATGCATGATGGTCATCTGCCTGATTTGAATGTTCGCTTGATTCCTCAGTAAACCTTCCTCAGTAAACTGAATAGCTTTATTACAAATGTAATTACTTTTGCTTATGGTTTTCGGCCAGTAATAAGAAATTAGATTTCCAGGGACCTATTTCCATCACATGTCTGCTTTGCATGTGCTCTGTTCTGTCTAGTTTCTTGGCAGGTTTAAGAAATTGTGTAAATTGTTCACACAACGCTGGAGCACACATTTTGTATACCTGTTATATGCATTTTGTACACATTCTTTCCCTAAAATATACATTTTGTATACTTTTCAAAGCATTTCCCCATAAAATATGCACTTATAGGTATGCTTAATATAAAATATACCTTACTGTGTGCAATTTTTGTTTGTACTGAAACTGCATCACAAAACTCAGAGAAGTGCATAATTCAGTTGATACCTGCATTCAGATTTGCATATGGGTCAGGACTGGAGAATTAGATCAGTTCTCTTTAAAATGTTGACTGAACAAATTTCTCCTCCATCTCTGCTATGAGCTCTCCTACGCATTTATTGCTTTCCACATCTGTTCCCACAGAGTTGTCCACCTTCCCATATTGGTCCTAACACAAGTGTCATCGTTCTTACCCCTTTTAGCATGGTGTACACAGGCACAGTGACATTTCTGTAAATGAGGCAGGTGAACGTTCCAGCGGGTGAATAGCTTGAAGAATTTGAAGCTGAGATTTTTATACGTAAAGGAAAGAAAGAAAAATGACAAGCTGCAATTAGCATCCCCACAGCATGTTTAAATGGATGGGTTTAAATTAGCTAGATGGGGCTATGTGGATAATCAACATTTATGTGGTAACAGGGGCTCTGACCAAGATTAACAAATGACCATTATATCTGAAACCACATTGAAAGACTATGTGTTGGTAAAGGCTACCCATCTTTCATCTCCCATATCTCCATCACAAAGAAAGCATAATTGATGGAGGTGCCCTTTGGTGGAGCACTAAATTTGCTTGTTGTGCCTGTGACTAAATGCCCTTTATCACCAAACATACAGAATACCAGCAAATGTGGTATAAATTCAGTCCGTAGTACATTTATCACAGAAGAGTTTACATGACCAAATGTTCTGAAAATATACCACCGGATAACACTAGTGGTATCTGCTCATGTATAGAATCTTTGGGACAATTTTGGCTAGTACTTACTCCGGCTAGAAGAGTCACTCCCAAGAGCCACTTCTGAAAGCCTCATGCCAGACTTGGCTACTGCATAGATCCGACTCTCCTAAAACAAGGGGGAAAGATCAAGGGAAAAGACAAAGCAAAAATGTAACTTCTGGTGAACTTAAGGCAACTTGGGCTGTTTTGTCCCTTCTTCGGGTCCTGTCGTCTTTACGAGAGAGTTTCTAGCAACTGAGCTACAAGCATATCTCTCAAGTGGCACAAACGCATAAGCTGTCTTTTGGATAGAGACACAAAAGGTCCACCTACAGTTTAATTGTAAATAGACTCTTCTTGGAAGCATACACCGGGAGGGAAGAGGATGGGGTGCATGGGGGAAGAGGAGATGCAAGAGAAAGGGAGGTGTTGAGCACACTCTTTTTACCAGCTGCTTCTCCCCTACAAATAATGCACCTCCAATTCTGTTTGAAAGAGGGAAGCAGTGGTCATAGTCGTATTGGCTTGATAATGTGTAGTTTCAATCTCTGATATATACCCTGAAGCAACTGTTAAACACGCAAGAAATTAGAACAGAAAGGAGAAAATAAGTTCATATCAAAATTATATATGTTCATTCTCAATACCTACATACATCTAAAAAAAAAAAGGAAAGAACAACAAAGATATGAAAATTCTTGCAGAGATATGGGAAAAAAATATTTACAAAAGCATCTCGGCTTCCTGTTGCTACAACTTGGGTTGGAGTATTGTTTAGGAGTTTTTGTATATTTATTTTAGATATTGTTTCCAGTTCCTCTGATGGCAAATAGAATTTGTCCCTAATATATAACATGTGGATATATAATATTAGATTAAAATAACAACACCTTTGCAATATGCACAGTTATTTCCAAGCTGCAATGATTTTGTTGTTGGTGGGTTTTTTAAATATAAAAAATGCAGTGAATTAAAGTCTTGGGCATGTACTGAATTCTGAATATCTTACCCAAGATGGAAATCTGTGCAGCGGAGGAGTGGGTGGCTTGCCTCCTGGGTCCATCACTCTGGTTTCAGAAGTCCATGTCTCCTTATTATAGCAAGATTGCTGGTGAATCTCTTCATCCATCCCTGCCTCCTCCCCCAAACAGTCTTCCATCTCCATGTTCTCAGCTACTTCCTCATCTATATCAGTCTCTTCCACCTGTCCCCGGCAATGTGAAGCAGCACTTATAGGCTTAAAAGTGCCGATATCATTGTTCGCCACATGATGGAAGGAATCTGCACCTGACTGTGGTTGGCTATAATGCCGCTTGGCGAGCAGGATGCTGTCCCTTGGATTGCTAGGAGTTCGAACTTTGGGGAGGGTCATGCTGTTACCTAGTCCAGCTTCCCTTCCTGGGAAATTGTGGGAGGTTGAAGTAATGGATTTTGGCAACTTCAGGGCTGGAGTTGACGTTGAAAGAGAACCATTAAGAACATTTTTCACTTCCCCAGATGAGGATGAGTGCAACCTATGAGTTCTGAAGTCAGCACTCAGTCCATCTGCTGGCTTGCACAAGTCAGATAATGTCTTGTCTGAATCACCAATGGAATTCTGCAGTTCCTCCAGGGGAGACTGAAAAGTTAAAGCTCCATGAAACTTCACAGTCTCAGCTTGGTGGTCTGATGATGGGCAGATTTGGGTATGTGCCATGGGGACCAGGTCATTTACCAAAGAGTTCTGGTAGTCTGGGAAGTCAGAGATAAGCCTCAGTGAGCTCCGAGAAGGCACCGATTTGTTCACCTCACCCGTTACACAGGCATCATTCATAAATACCACACTTGCTATATAAGGAACCCCTTTCATGGATACACTCTGATATGCCTGTTTGATGTCCATTGCAAGAATCCTGGAATCCCGGTCTGAGTTCTCAAGGAGGCAGGACAATCGGTCTCGAAACAGCTGGATGTTGCAGTTGGAAACAGATTCTTCAGAAGGCACAGTCATCAAATCTGCAATTGGGAAAAGACGTCAGAACAAAAGAAGGCCCATCTAGTCCAGCATTCTGTTCTCACAACCAACCAGGACCTGAGTGCAACACCACTCTTTCCACTTGTGATTCCCAACAACTGATGTTTCATAGACCTGCTGCCTCTGTTGCTCAAGGTAGAACACAGCCATTGTAACTAGTAGCCATGAATTGCCTTATCCTCTATGCATTTGGCTGATTCTCTTTTAAAGCAAGCCAAGATAGTGGCCGTCACTACATCTTCTGGGAGAAAATGTTGTACTTTAATCATGTTCTTTGTGAAGAAGTACTTTCTTTTGTCCGTCTTGGAATCTTCCAACATTCAACTTTCAACGACTCCAAGTTCAAGCATTATGACATAAGGAAAACAACTTTTCCCTCTCCACTTTCTCCATAATTTTATGCACCTCTTACCATGTCCTCCTTACCCGCCTTTTCTCCAAGCTAAAAAAACCCAAGTGCCATAACCCGTTTTTAACTTTTATGTTTTTATTGTATAGTTTTGCTTTGTTTTTATTGTTCTAAACTGCTTTGATATTTTTTGTGATATAGTGGTATATAGATATTTTTATAAATAAATAAACTTTCTACAATTTTTTTATCATGGCAATAATTGTGCCCTGTATATATCTAAACAATTAGGGTTTGTTTGTTTTCTTCCTTCATCTCCATCCCTTTGGTCTTTGGTGTCATGTCTTTTAGATTGCTAGTCTGGGCAGTGACTCTCTTTTATCTGTAAGCCACTATTTCAGCTGAAGAGTTTAGTTTCATTAATTAAATACTCCCAGGATACTGAATCAAAATATTGTAAACTATTTTTTTAAAAAATAATTTTATTAATATTATATTATTACACTTTGTAGCCAAGGTCGTTATATAATCATATGTAGAAAACTTGTTCTATTAGACCACTCTTCTAAAAACAGGAATTTATAATCTTTAAGCCCAAATCATTTGAAACCCCTCCAACCCATCCATGCTGATGGTTCTGGTGATCTGTAATTAAAGGACAAATATGGCCAGGCAATACAGTTCAGATTATAACACCCCTCATAACTACCCCCAATAGCTCTTACAGGTCTATTCTGAGCAACAAACTAGTGAAATGGCATTCTTCATTTGTACACTAAAGGAGAAAGATTCCTTTGTAACCACCAAAATCAATAATCAGTATAATGCTGTCAAAAGTGATCTGTATTAAACATGGTAAATGTACCTGCAGTTTTTCAGGTAAACAAAACTGTAGATAAATCTGTTAATCAGTAGAGATGTCTGCAAGAGATTGATTTTATTTCCAGAGCAGTGGTTAAATTTACAAAAAAAAAAAAAAAAAGGAGCTAGAGAGACTCATGAGGCTGGACCTCTTATTTGGAAGTTCTGCCTGTTAATCCCAAACACACTTGGGTGCGTAGTCGAGAGACTATTTAAAAGTGAAGAAAATCCATTCTGCATATGTTCAAAGGCAATGTTTTACGCATTATGACTTGTCACATTGCCATGCTGAGCATGGAAGACAAGGGATTAAACCCTGGTTCAAATTAGCCCCTATGTTGGAGAATCTGAATTGAATCAGACACAATGAGACAGTACAATTATGTGCAGGAGTCAATGTATCATTCAGAGCTGTCTGATTGGTGGCATTTTGGGAACACTTAATACCAGGTTATTATAGCAACCATTTCATTCCGCTAGCAATCAAAACGGATGGGAAGTTGTTTGCAAAGCTTTCAACTGGAAAGGTGCTTGCGCTTGCAGAGAACTGAGGCCAGTCAGGTAATATTGGCACAGGATTGTCACCTCCATGTACATACATACAATTCTCCTGTGTTCCAGGTTGCTTGCCTATACATGATGGCTATGCCTACTTCGCTGTGAGCGAGCGAGCGAGCGAGCGCAATTTGGAAAAGACAATTCCCTTACATTTGAAATGTTAATCATATTGTAGTGAGGAATGAAGTTTTCAGGACCCAGTACAAAGAACCCATATCTTTAGTTGCACAGAGTGTGAACAAACACTATAAATGCAAAGTAGGCTTCCCCCCAGTAACTTTCAATGTATCTATGTGCAGTTGAAAGGTATGGGAGCCCAATATTCATCATCATGCCCCAGTATGAATTGTACACTATGTGAACAAGCCCATAGAAAACGTAATGCATGATTGGGCTGGGTGACATATTATACAAGTCACAGGTTTAAAAAGGCACAGCAACATTACCCATACTTTAGGTTAGGGATGGGGAACCTGTGGCCCATCAGATCTTGCTGGACTACAGTTCCCACAATCCCCGACCATAGGCCTTGCTGGCTAAGGCTGATGGAGGTTTGGAGTTTAACAACAACTGGAGGGCAGCCACAGGATCCGCATCTAGGTTTTATTTACTAGCTGCAGGAAATAACAATGTAGCACAGATACATTGGTTGGTCCTCGGCAATTGCGTAAGCCACGTAAAGGGTGGGGCTATTCTTAGTTGTACAAGAATGTACTTGGGACAGAGAGGTTAATGAGATTTTGCAGTTCTTGTACTTAGCATGTACAAGAACAACATTGGTGTCAAAGTAACATCCATGGAACATCTACAATCCACATTTAGGTGGACCCATGAACTTTGCCAGAGCATCCAAACATGTCAGGAAATGACCGAGTGCGTAGTAAAAAAAGAAAATCTGCTTATGATTTTCAGAAAGTAGCTTCACCCCTAGGATAATATCTAAAGCTTGATGTTGCCCCCCTAAAGGTAATGGATTTTCTGCCACTGACATTAGTTATAGCCTTTACAGCTGAATTAATAGACCAGCCATTAGTATGGTTCTTCTTTTCACTTTCTCTGCTGGTTCCTAGACATTTATTTTAAAAATTACATATTTACCTTGCAGCGCTGCTTGAAGGACTTTGATCTGCTCAGTCAGCTTCAGGTTATAACCCTTGAGGTAATGGTTTTCCATCTCAAGCTGTGAAACAGTAGAAGAAAACACTTTATGTTAAAAAAAATCATTTGAAGTATATTTCTTTTACAAACAGTTCTGTCCACAGATTTTTGGCTTTAATAAAATTTCAAGAAAATTAAGATAAATTTAATTGAAAATTCCTACCTTCTTCAAAAGGAAGGCCTATCTCTAGGAAGAGTTCTCTTTGTCTTGTATATTTATGGCCAAACAGTATGACGATCTGCTTAACCAATAAGCTTGGACTTCACTAACTAAATTTCTAAACAAGTACAGTGGTACCTCGGGTTAAGTACTTAATTCATTCCGGAGGTCCGTTCTTAACCTGAAACTGCTCTTAACCTGAAGACCACTTTAGCTAATGGGGTCTCCTGCTGCCGCAGGTGCCACCTGTTCTCATCCTGAAGCAAAGTTCTTAACCTGAAGCACTATTTCTGGGTTAGCGGAGTCTGCAACCTGAAGCATATGTAACCTGAGGTACATAGGTTGTACTGTAAGCGTCATTACTGGCCCAGTTCTACAGTCCATTGGCACACAAAAGAAGGCACACAGCTGTACACATTGTCTTCTCCAACAGTGCAATGCAGAAGTTTACATGTCACTGCAGAGCAGGATATCCCTACTGAGGTGTCACTACAAGCACCCCTTTCATGCCAATGCAGTTGTACAATTCTATGGACTAGGCGTGTGGAAAAAACAAACTGGCCATCACCTCTCTTAGTTTAGCTGTCACCCAGTCTTTAATTTTGGCAGCCTTTTCTTGGACAATTTTAGCATCATCCGCTCTCAGTTGCTTCTGTGAAGAAGAGAAATAGACAAATGTTATAAGACAGCAGCAGATCCATTTGACTTGAAGAAATTGCAGGTATAGCCATGAGCAACAGCTCACGATTCTTGCACAATTCTTGAATAGCAGTAAGGAATATTCTGGAGACTTTGTGGAAACTTGCCCTACAAATCAGAACTAGACCACAGACCTCAGGTGCCAGAAGGAACGTCTTTCCCCATAGTAATTTGCCTATGTGCTGAGGTAATATTTAGAGCCTCTCCACCAGGTGCTCCAGCCATCTAAAGTAAAGCTAGTGGCAAACAGAGAGAGCCTTCTCAGTGCATCTTTTCCCTCTTAATATATTCTGTTATTGACTTAAATCACATAGCTGTTTCCTATGGTTATTTATTGCCAGCTGTGACAACTTAACTCTTCTGTCCCATACTTCTTCTTTAAAAACTAATTTCTCTTTCTTTTCTTCTCTTTCTGCAAGCTGTTTGCAGTTATTAGATTTATTTATGTATAATGAAAAAAAGAAAGCCTTCTCAGTGCTGGGATTGTGTTTGTGGAATTCCCTCAGCTATTGAGAAGTGTGCCTGGCACCAACTGCATTATCCTTTAGGTGCCAGGCATAATTCCTCCCCCTTCCAGTCTTAAATAAATAAATAAATAAATAAAATTAATAATATTGTTCTTCTTCTGACAGATTAATTGCTATTATGGGGGATATCCAGTGTTGTGCAAGCAGACATAATGAGACTTTTCCTTCTTCCCCCTCCCTGCCACAGTTCTCTCGAATCAGCTTCAGAGAGATCCGCAACACACCAGAACAGATTTGGGGGCCATATGAGGGGAGAAAGAGGAAGTCCTGTTGCATGAGTTCACCCATTTTATTTGGGATGTCACCTGTTTTATTTATGTATGTTATATTGTTTCTGGAAACTCTACTCAAGGGCAGCAATAACTGTTTCGAATAAATAAATATTGACCTGAGAAGGGGGAGACAGACATAAATGCATTTTAGAAGCAGGAAGAGAAGCCATAATATCATATGGTACCTTTCCCACTGGCTGCGGAGGCAAGATGTGTGTCCCAGCTAAAAATAGCTTAATTACCTGCTTTTCCAGCTGTGTCTCCAGTTTCTCGATCAGTTCATCCTTTTCTTGCACTCTGCTCACCAGCTCCTGGTATTTCTTGTGTACACTTGAACCGCTTGTTTTCATGTGGGCAAGTTTCAGCTTCTCTTCCATAACGTCCACCTGAAAGATTCCCTCACACTTTCATTGTAATGACAATGGGTGGGGAAAGGGAAGGAAACACATTGGACTCTTTGTGGGAATAGACTGCTTGTTCACTAATGGACCCTTATTTGGGGCAGGGCAGATTCTTCTTAAAGAACTCTCACACATTTATCCCTTCGCATAATCCCATCCACTAGAGCGCTGGTATCTGATGTTGAAAATATCACATTAGCAGCACTGCTCAGCCTAGCCTGAGGTAAGTCCCACTTCCAGGTACTGTAAGTGGATATGCAACCTAAATATTCAAAGGCTCAAGGAAAATATATTTTTCAGAAGATAATTAAAAGAAATGCCTGGAAGGCCTGCCATCTTCAGACAGCAAGATGGTCCCAAGTATACAAGAAGAAATAAGACATCAAACATGTCTTACAGGTACATATAAGTGGGGCACTGAATCTCCACTTGGCAGGCATTCTGCACCTGCCCCTTCTTTTTCTATGAACATGTCTCTCCCTCTCTCCATCCCAGCAGCTATGTTATCCGTCCCCTTCCAGGGTTTTGGACAGAAGCTTTATAGGGATGTCATAAATAATTTGGTTGTGCCTGAGAGTACCTTCTCAAATGTAGTCTCCGCTTTTCTCTTTTAAAATGGTGACGGCGCCGGGGCCCTAGCCTACTGACCTCCTCCTCAAAGGCCTCAAATTGAGATTGGCAATGCCGTGCGGGATATTTCCCAGTCTGTGTGCCAATTTCTTCATGAAAGCTGGTTATGCTCCAGCGGACATTCCTGGCCCCGAGTTGCAGAAAGCTGTGTTTTGTCCTCCTGTCTGTCTACATTAGACAGAGAGAGGCAAACAGTCTCTCCCCTACGCTGAACCTGAAAGGCAAGCGTGTGGCACCCCAAGCCAGAAAGCTTAGCCTGCCAAGATGCCGGTGTTTGGATCAGAGCTTGGGAATAATTACCGTCTAAGGAAAGAGCCCCTCCCAGCTGCCTGATGCCTGAGTGGTGACTCTACACTGAAACCTCCAAGCTGGGACAGTAACCATTTTGCCTTCCTTATCTGAAGATAAGAGCACATTGAAGACACCATCCAAAACCCTGAACTCAGGGGCGGGGAAAAAACACCCAGCTTTAGGACTCAGCACACAAGTCATTTCATTTCCTAGAAGTCTTTTGCTTCCCTGCACAATATACCTGTTTGTGGGGTGGCAGCTCCACATGATGTATTAAGCCACTTCCTAAGCCTGTCAGATTTAATTAAGGCATTTCGAAAGGCCTTTCCATTTCCCTTAGATAACAAGCTGGGTGGTGCCATTGGTAACAGGCAGCAGCAAACTCCAAGCCTCCGGGCCTGATTCACTCCGCCGAGTTTGGCCAGGATATGGCGGCCCAACCTGGACTGTAATTTTCCACTCACCTTTTCCCCTCCCCCTTTAAAAAGGGATACTGAAGAATAGTATCCTTGGTAGCTTAACTGGATTCTGTGTGGGTCCCAAAAATTGCTTAGCAACTAAAAATGGTGGGAATAATCGCCACAGAATCCCTGTGATCACACCCACACGATGTTTTTAAAGCACATTTATACCACTTTAATAGTCGTGACCTCTCCCAAGGAATTCTGGGGACTGTACTCCCCACAGGGCTAAAATTCCCAGCACTCTTAAACTACAGTTCCCATGATTATTATTTTTTTTGGGGGCGGGGGGAGAGACATGGGTTCTAAATGTATGGTATGGATATGAGTTGGAGAAGGACTCAAAGGCTATACTTTTTAGGTTTTGCCCACAGAACACAGTTCTCCCGCTGCTACAGCAAGGTTTAGAAGCATGATTAAAAGCTTATAAGCACTGTAAGGTGTAAATGTGTCACCTGAAACTGAAAACCTTTGTATAATTAGAAATCTTGGGGTGCCCGTCCAGCTGTAAAGGTTTTCACATGTTATGGGACTAGTGATATCAGAGAAGCTCTTACCTGTTTCTCTGCATTTTGGGCTCTCTGTTCTGCCTCAACCACTCTTTGCTCCAGTTCTTGCATCTTCAGAAGAAAATAAGACATGAAAAACGGTTTACTACCACTACTACTAAGGTAAAAGGTAAAGGTAAGGTAAAGGACCCCTGGACAGTTAGGTCCAGTCAAAAACAACTATGGGGTGCGGAGCTCATCTCACTTTCTGGCCAAGGGAGCCAGCGTTTGTCCACAGACAGCTTTCCGGGTCATGTGGCCAGCAGGACTAAACCGCTACTGGCGCATGCAAGACCATGATGAGTGCCAGAGCACATGGAAATGCTGTGCTACCAGTAGTACTAGTAATGCTAGTACTACTACTTCTACTACCTCTTTAGAATCAAACCCATCATTTGTCACTGTGATCTCTGGCATTTCTGGAATTATAAAACATAGCTCTTTAACGAATTTTGACATTCATTCTATGGTTGAAAAGGATACCTTCTGGTACATTTTACATGCTATTCACTATTCCTATAAGCAGCTTACTTAGAAGCCACCAGCTCACCATTATCATTCAAATCACCATATCTCTTTGATAGACTTATGATAGATTCTGCACCACTATATAATCACTATGATGCGCAGGATCTTTTAATGTCTAGAAACTGTTTCAAAGAGTGCTATTTATTTTATCAAACCTTTGGGAAAGCTGTAACAATGCTCACATATTCCCATGTCATGCTATTTACAGGTATGAGATTGACATAAATATTATGCAAATTCAACGACATTTGGGGCCCAATTTACACAGGAGACTTCAACCTCCCATGTGCGCACCTCATGGGCTTGAGTGATTGATTGTCCTATATTCTCTCGCTCCACATTCAATTTGGCAAAACATGCCCTTGAATAATGGTTCAACTGCACTGCCAGAAACATTTTCCCTAGAAGCGTCCCATTTTCCCTAGAAGCGTCCTTAATTATAGTGTTCCAGGTTGGCAGAGATACTCAGCGCCATGCTGCGGTAATACCATGCTGAAGCACTGACTCAGCATTAATTTTGACAGAGTAAATGAAAGGATTTTAGAAAGCTGGGTTTTTCCCCCCATTCAAATTTGATACCCAAGCTTCTGTTTGATCCTCGTTTTGCTGATGATCTACTACCATTGCAGTGCATGGATATTATATCAGCTGGAATTACACTAAAAACATCCCGATCTCATGTAAGTAACTTCTCAAGAGTCTGGCTTTCTCTGTATCAACTCAGAGCTGTGTCTGCAGCTCCTTCCTCCTGCCCTGGCTTGGATTGGCTTCTCCTATGCCTTAATGAAGACCTCTAAATTACTTCCCCTCCTTTCACATTCTTCTTGGGAAAACAATATCTGCACACAGACTTTCCCTGCTGGAGAGGAAAAGAGGGCTATGGGTCAGTGTCCCATAGGTTCTTTGTTCTCACAAGCTTATGTACAAGAGCTCATTAATTTTAATAATTGCCGTAACGTTTTCCTTGGAGGGTTGTTTGAGGAAAACCAATGCTTTTGGATGGGGAGAAGCAATCCCATTTGGGTAAAAGTGCAATAACTCCCCTTGTAGAGTTACTAGTCCCAGAAGGGAAGAGGGATCAATGTGACTTCTCCATTGTCTCGAGAAAGAGAATGGAGTGCACTTCTGGGGATGAAGGCATTAGCAGCACCAAAGTGACCTCCCCAGGGCACAAGCTTGGGCAGTGTGTATGGAAGCCCTGCGCTGCCCAGATGACAAGACCCACCCCCCCCCCCCGGCCACGCTGCTATACTCCAAAGGAAAGCAGAGCAGTAAGTTGGCTACAGGAGTTGCTAGAAGGAGGCACCATCCATCTGTCTTATGGACTCCACTCCAGATTTGTGTAGGGTTTATTCCCTAGCTTTTTATTCTCCAAAATATATCCTGTAAGTTTTAGGGTCAGAGTTTCAGGAGGTTTAGGGTTAGAGTTTTCCTAGATGGGCAACCTTCTCAGGTTGATGAGCCCCATCTGCTCCTCGCTTCCCTCTACAGCATGTGCAGAAAACCACCACCTTCACCTTTGGTCCCACTGTTGGTCTTGTCTGCTCAATCAGCTGGAGCCTGTCTTCGCACGCAGGGGAAGTCCCTAACTCATCAAGGGCCTGAGACTCATTGACTACCCTCACCTGGTTTAGCTGGTCAGTCAAAGCCCTTTCCTGGGGTGTGGCTGCTGTCACATGCTGACAGCTTCTAGGAGCCCCAGATGAGAGCTGAGTGCCGGGTGGGGACCAAATGCGGACAAACTACCCCAGAAGGAGCATACACCCCTACTTGGAATAATACCTGGAAATTAACATCCTTTTTGTCCCAAACTGAAAGTTCAGCTTCACTGCAGTACCATGGGTACCCACATGGGTAACATTTGCACATTATTGGTGATATTTCTGCTCTTGTGAACGATGGCAACTGTACCACTCTGACACTTGACCACTTTTTGGCATGGTTCACTGTCTCTCATGAGTAAGCTGAACAAGACCAGCATTTTAGAGACTGATCTCTCCAAGAAACCTGGGTTCTTTGAGAACAGAAGAACTCTACTTACCTCCCAACTGAATGGATACTGAAACCGTCTGTATTCATTAAAGATCTCATGGCAACCCCTGACAGCCTGCCAAACCTTCAGATAAGCTAATAAAAATCCATGTAGTCTGACTCAGTTTAAAAATAATTGGTATTCATCTTCCTTCTCACCACTTCATTGTCTTGCTGTGGGATGTTAAAACTGCTGCTCTGTTTAACATCAGACAAGAGTGTTAATTTCATGGTGCTTTTTGAGTATCATGTGTTATTCAAGGTTCCCCAGGGGCGAGCTAACCATAAGCTGAGCATTCAGATTGCACTTTCTATGTATCATGTTTTGTAATACTGATAAGAAAACTGCACTGCACGGCTAATTAACTGTGAAACAAACATTGAAATGAGATGTTCAAAATTCGGTTCCTACGCTTCTGATCACTCGCCCACCAAGCTGTCCTCTCCCACGTGCTGTAGAAAGATAAAGCCCTATTATCAAACAGAATGATGTCTCAAAGGTGAGGAGAGCCGCCAAAGATTCATGGCCCACAGTTCATTTGTTAACCGGGTCAATTATGCCGCCATGGCAACAGACTGCTATGTCACTCATCAACTGAATATTACTCCTCTTTCCCGTTGTGTGCACAACTGTGTAAGTAAATGCCAGTTACTAAAGACATGAGATTCTTGAACGCATTTCTAGATTAACTGGGTGAAGATGCATTAACAGTCAGTATGAACGCCCTTCAAATGAGCCCATGAGAAAAGTACCCAGGAAATCCTGTGTACACACATCTCCACTTCTAAGCTTAGTCAGGCATTTCTGCCAGAATCAAAGTATTTTTCTTTGGATTTTTACTCTCTTTTGCATTAATTAGATTCAGCTCCATTTTCTCTCTCCATTTCTCTCTCTCTCTCAGTCTTTTTCTCTCTCTCCTGAGAGGCCCCACAGCTCATTTGTAACAGGGTCATCATGCTGCCATGGCAACAGCCTGCCATGTCACTCATCAAGAGAATATTACCCCTTTTCTCCTCAGTGTGTGCAACTGCATGGGGGGAAAAAACCCCTGAGTGCAAGTAAATGCCAGTTAGCAAAGCCATACAATGCATACAATTCTAAACTCCAGCATACTTTAATTTCCATGGAAAGCTTCCAAAAAACATTTGAGCAGTATCATTGCTAGCATTGCATTTGTTTTGAGTTTCTCAAGAGAGGCATGGCAGAACGCAGTGCAAAAAACTTTTATTAAGACAGCATTCTAACAATACTTCACATGTTTATTAAGGACTTGGGGGAAGGTTCATCCGTGTGTGTGTGTGTGTGTGTGTGTGTGCAGTCACTTGATAAGTTATCACTAGACAATTCAAAAGGTGAATGTTCAAAGCTGAATGTGTGAACTAAATCCTTCAAAAAAACCATTGAATTTGAAGAGGTATGCAGGGATATGCATGGGCATCCTGTGGTTTGTTCATTCATACATACAAGTCACCACTTGATGCTGCAGTTATCAAATGAGTCACTATAAACTGCCCTAGGAATTTGTTGAGGGGCGGGAAATTAGTAAACAAATTTGTGAACTAGCCCTTAAGGCTGAAATTCTGGTACTTAAGTTGTGTATTAGAATTGTGTGATTCAGTTCTTAAATTGTTTGACTGACATACTAAATCACTTACTAACTTACAAAATTAGTCAGTTTTCGTTTTCAGCACTAAGGCAACCATCCTGTTAGCCTGAAAATGATGAACAAAACCTCCCCTCGCTCCTAGCACTTCTGACAAGGCTTTGTTGAATTACAGCCTTTAACTGCTTACTCTTTGGCCTTCAGAGGAAAACCACATCACAAAACCATACAGCCAGTTACAGAGTAACCTGATCACTGAACCAAACTGCTCCCTAATCTCAACAAAGGGCAGCTTGACACACCCACACCCCTAGGGCTGGATTAACTCCAGAGTCTTCATTTCCCTTTCCACAGGGGTGTCCAGCCGTCAGGTGCTTGGCAAAGTACAGGAGTAATCAGACAAGTTTATTGTGCAGGGACGCGGACTTATAAAAAATATTGGGGGGGCCCGGGAAAGCTCATGAATAATAAATAAGCTCATGAATATGCAAATAAAGTGGCGCCGCCTCCTCGTGAGCGAATAGGGGAGAGCGTGCTGCGCCTATTAATCAGCTCCAAAGGAAATTGGGTGGAGCTTTTGCTCGGGAGGGAGGGCAGGAGGCATGCAGCCCGCCCCTCCCTGTGCATTTTGGGCTGGGGGAGGGGCGGCGATGGCGCTCTGCTGGAGGGGCGCCGGAGATTATTGGGGGGGCGGAGCCCCCCAAATGAATTTTTGAGGGGCTCGGGCCTCCTCAAGCCCCATGGAGTCGGCGCCTATGTTATTGTGCTGTCACCATTCTGTTGGAATTCTTTCCAAAAACATTGACTGGGTAAAGATTTAAATTTAGGATTTCTAATGAACGAAAGAGGGCTTGGGGTTTAAATAACAAACACGTGGATAGGGTGGGAATCAGATTCTGAAAATCATGATTTCAAAGCCATTCGAGTTCTTGTCCACATCCTCAGGCTACTCAAACTGAAACTTAAGCCAAATACATTTTTGTATAAGCTAACATTTAAAATTAATTTTATAATGTATGCTTTAATGGTAGTTTTTATTGTGATATTCTACTGCAGTTGGTGTTACTGTAATTAATTATAGTGTATATTTCAGAATGTTGTTAACTTAGAGAAATTTATTTTTTAAAAAATCAGTCCATTAATAAGCAAATTAAAACATGGCAGGCAATTTCTCTAGACCTTCTTATAGGGTACTGTATCAAATTTAAGTTGAAACTGTTTTATTTTTCATTATAAAGACTTGATTTTGAAACATATGTCCCTGCCCTCATCACGGGGGGTTACAATCTCTCTTACTAGCTATCCTCATCCAAAGGTTTAGGAATAAGCAACCCTGTACTTTGATTTTTTTGTAGTTTTTTTAGCTTTTTCATTATTATAATGGAATTTTCTTTTGTAATTTTGGTTGTCTATATTTATCTGTATTTGTTTAAAGCAAAATAAAAGTATTTAAAAAAAGAAAAGAATAAGCAACAAAGACTAGTTACAAAATGTAGCTTTTGCCTCACCTTCTCAGCCAAAAGCTCCCGGATCCTACTAGCTTGCAGGCGGAATTTGAAGAGCTGTGTCTCCAATGCAAGGCATCGTTTCTGCCAGTCCATGCAGCTACCATTCTCAACAGCGAGCTCTGCCATTTTGAATGCCTTCTTCTCCCTAGACTGACCTCAAGATGTCCTAAGTGAGCAAGACAAAGGGAAAAAAAAGACAGAAATGTCCAAAATGCTATATGAATTGTCTTTATAGATATTTTTTTTAAAGCACATCCAATACACATTTAAAACACATTCCTTTGACTTCCCCCAAAGAACCCTGAGAATGGAAGTTTCCCCCTCACAGTTACGTACAATTCTCAGTACCCTTAACAAACTACACCTCTGGATATTCTTTGGGGCAAGTAATGAGCTTAAAACATGAACTGGATGTGTCTTAAACATATAGGGTGGATGTTCCCTAACAGGAGAATTTCCCCTGCCTCCTCCAATCTGGGGACGTGGGTGGCGCTGTGGGTTAAACCACAGAGCCTAGGGCTTGCCGATCAGAAGGTCGGTGGTTCGAATCCCTGCGACAGGGTGAGCTCCTGTTGTTCGGTCCCTGCTCCTGCCAACCTAGCAGTTTGAAAGCACCTCAAAGTGCAAGTAGATAAATAGGTACCGCTCCGGCAGGAAGGTAAATGGCATTTCCGGGTGCTGCTCTGGTTCACCAGAAGCGGCTTAGTCATGCTGGCCACATGACCCGGAAGCTGTACGCCGGCACCCTTGGCCAGTAAAGAGAGTTGAGCGCCGCAACCCCAGAGTCGTCTGTGACTGGACCTAATGGTCAGGGGTCCCTTTACCTCCAATCTAGCTATGGTAACATCATACTTTGCATTGCAGGGGGCTGGGCTAGTGACCCATGGGGACCCTTTCAACTCTAGAATTCAATGAGTTTATGTCAGTTTGCACAAAACCAACTCTGCATTCAAATTTTAAACACTCGGGAAGTTTAGGAGAATCCAAAATGAAGATTCGAACTGTAAACAAACTTTTAACAACTAAGACTTCCAGGACAAGAGCTTCAATCAAGCCTGATTAGAAGATTAGGCAAATGCAAACAACCTAAGCCTTTAGACTATGGTATAAACTCACTGTTGTTCCAGACTGTGCAGTGAAAGAGTTAACAGAATCTTCTTATCAGCTCCTAAAGATCACATTATCAAAGCTACTCTGGTTTCCATATGGTCTCTCTCTCCCCCCAGTTTAGCTATCTTTTGGACCACCAAGCTGCACTAACTCTTAATGTTTCCCAGGGTCATTCTGGTAGCCTGTCAGTGCGTATTTAATCTCCTGGTATGTAGGTTCAGCTACAAGAGCAGGAACGATAGGCCTGTTGCTTAGCTAACGCTTAAAATTCACATAGCCAATATGCCCCTTTCATTAGAAGCCCATGAGCTAATTGAAGTGGGCAGCAGAAGACACAATGCACTAAGTGTCCTCATGGATGACAGAAGCCCTTCCACGACAAAGCTTTGGCTATGAATTATCCAAGTGAAACAGATAGTAAGAGAGAAGAAAGATAAAGCTTCATTCATTATATTTCATTGCCACAGTCTGAAAAATATTTAGCTAAGGCCCTTTGTCCATTTTAATCACCTTTGGAAGTCCCTTTTGCTAGTCCCCAAATTTAATGAATGGAAATGGAAAGATATGCTGAAAAGCTGGAGGGGTGAGCATAGAAATTAAAATCTTTGGAACTATTCTGGTGATTTAATTCAGCCTTGCAAATAAGCCCACAAAAGGAGACAGCCTCCAATATATACTTTTTACCAGCCTGCCGAGGGCTGCCAGTGGAGAGAGGGAGAGCCTCCTGCAGCATTTCTAAGCTGCGTGCAGAAAGAGGGACTTCACTCCTCCAGCAGCCCACTTGGTTTCTGTGTTGGCCACAGAGAAGTGATGGCATGCTCCCTCTCTCCTTGGCCATCCTGCATATAATTTTTTGTCTGTCACCTATGACTACTAAAGTGCTGAAAAAGAAAGCTGAATTAATTAATGAGCAGAAAAGCTTGAGGGCACGGTTTTTTGTGTTTTTCATTGGAAATCTGCCTTTGAGGGTTAATCCATTCCACCCTGTTGGATGTGGGAATGAGGGCTGCATGGATGCCATCAATGCACATAGTACTGTCAGCCATGCAAATGGAATATATATATATATATATATATATATATATATATGTCTGAACACTCAGCTCACATAAGAACACAGCTGAAATGTTTTGGCAGAGGACCACTGTATTTTTCTGCTGCCCTCCATCTATCCAATCTATCCATTCCTGATCACTTTCGCTACCAGGTGTGTCTGATTCATGATTGGATCAAGCTGTTGTGAGCTTCAGAGCATTGAACTGATGTGGGGGCACTGAATTAATTGCCCACAGCATCACATGAATCCAGAATGACAGAACATCCATATAAGATGAACATACTGTATAGAGACAGGAAATACCCCTTTAAAGATTTTACTGAGCACATGTCCCTATCACATTAATTACCTGGGCTGCCTAAGCATGTGTACCAGAAAGTGATCTCAGTGGGACTTACTTTCAAGAGAACATGTCTAGGATTGAGTTGCAGGCTTTTTATACTGCATCCTTGCCACAGAATGGAGCAGCCTATTTTGAAGAATGGCTAGATGATGCATTTCCACTTTGGTTCTCTACACTCACATCTTGTCAAACCTGACATGCCAAGGATAGGAGACGGTGAGGAAGAAACTTGCCTATATAATATGCATCATCACAGATTTGTGGAGTCGGAGGGGGCCTTGTAGGCTACCTAGTACAGCGTCCTGCTCAATGAAGGACATCCAGAGCTAGAGGAACATCGCCAGTGGATTGCTGTCCAGCAAAAACTCCAGCAAGGGAGAGCCCCTCCCCACCTCCAATTAATTTTCAGGTCTGCCATTCCATTATCTTTCTATTGAAATGGAACACACATACTAAACACTACAGAATAATGAAAATTGTACTGTCCAGGCATCCAAGACAAAAGTAAGTTAAAGCAACAACGGTATTACTTCTTTCACTGCAATATGGAAAGATCAGTATCGGACAGTATGGAGGGGCACCCCTGCTCATATGGCCTCTGGTCAGTCACATCACTGCTGTTCACTGAGTGGCAAAGGGTGAAGGACAAGGTGGCAGAGAAGATGGCAGGTTGGAAACACACTGGAAGGAGGCACTCAGTTGGTTCTGCTGCTGCATCTGTACCGCACAAACCTTGCTGCAGCCTCCTCCCTTCCCATCTACTTCTCAAAAAGCCATAGCAACAGAACTACCCAGCAGTCAGTTGAGCGGTGGCACCCCACCCCCAATGGTGAAGCTGTTTGCTCCACTACCGGGGGCAGAGAGCTGGCGGGGGTGTGACTGGCCCCCCCTGGGGGATGGTGCACATCCCGGGGGCGTGGCAAGCTGCCCACAGGGGTGTAGCGCGTGTTCTGGGGGCATGCCTCTCTGCCTGTGGGGGCGTGGTGCATGTCCGGGGGGGGGGCGCCGTGATGGCACCCTATTGGAATAGTGGTGCCAGTGGCGGTCCGCTCCCTCTGCACACTCATTCCTCCGCCAGTGCCCACCCCACCACCCACTGCTGAGCAAGATTCTGTTATATATATATCAATAGGGAAAATCCTAACAGGCATAGGTGCAGTAAAATTCCATATCAAGGCCAAAAAGATCTGGCCCCTAGTTACCCCTTTTGTTAAGCAGAACATGGTGCCTTATTGTAGGAAGGCAACATTGGATCTATTACTTATAATGAAATCATGGACAGCATTCTTTTCTCATGGGAGAACAGGCTTGAGGTGAAAGACACGGCATAAAGCCAGCTGAGTCCTTGCTTGTATCAAGAGATAAACTTGTACAGAAATCCTTGTAATGATTAGGAAAAAACAACATTGAATTTCTTCTATCTGCTTGTTTTTTTAAAAAAAGTTACAAGAGCTTAGAACAAATTGTATTCATCATAATCAAAAGCCTACCACCCATTTTGCAATAATAAATCACTTGGCAGTACTAGATTAGTAGGTGTATTGTGCCATTTGCAGACAATCTTATGATATCCACTATGAATGCATCTATCCAGAGAGGAATGCAAAAAATGTAATCAAGGATTCAGCATTGAGGCTTGATCTTAGAGGTTATAATGGTAGTACATGCAGTTTTCTGGAGAAAACATGTCCATACTGTTTCACATATGCCTTTTTAAAAACACAGTTTATTTACCCAAAAATGTTGGTTTTGCATCTAACATAACCATTACATAGCAGAACCTAACTACTTATCCTTTCTTTTTTCACTTCTCATTATGTCAAAGGTATACAAACTAATCAACATAGCATTTTAAAGATATGTGTATCATGTGAAATAGGGACGCGGGTGGCGCTGTGGGTAAAAGCCTCAGTGCCTAGGGCTTGCCGATCGAAAGGTCGGCGGTTCGAATCCCCGCAGCGGGGTGCGCTCCCATTGTTCGGTCCCAGAGCCTGCCAACCTAGCAGTTCGAAAGCACTCCCGGGTGCAAGTAGATAAATAGGGACCACTTACTAGCAGGAAGGTAAACGGCATTTTCGTGTGCGGCTCTGGCTCGCCAGAGCAGCGATGTCACGCTGGCCACGTGACCCGGAAGTGTCTCCGGACAGCGCTGGCCCCCGGCCTCCTGAGTGAGATGGGCGCACAACCCTAGAGTCTGTCAAGACTGGCTCGTACGGGCAGGGGTACCTTTATCATGTGAAATACATATTAATGCAATTACATTTCTTTACAAACACATGCATTACGTAGATTTCTTTACTTGGATGGTAGCCCTTAGTCGAATAATCATATGAGTTTTAGGGGGTAGCCAATTTCAATTCTAGGTTGCAACAACAGATATAGTGTCCAGATCAAGGGAAGTACATAGGACCACACTATTCTGTCTTGGTGTGACCTGACCTGGACTACTGTATCTTTTTGTCAATTAAAATGTTTCTAATTCATTAGATATTGCAGTCCTGGTGTTTCATATATACAGTACTTGCACCAAGGTGCAATACTAAAGACCGTTTCCTGGCACCTGTGCTCATTTGCCATCTCAAATTAAGACTGCAATGCTATACACATTTATCCGGGAAAACAGACGTTTTAGGACTGCACTTCACTTTACCACTTCAGAAGTTTCATATCTATATTATCTGGTTTCATCTCAAACTGTATGCAGCTGGTGGAAAGCACTACCATACTGATACTCACTTTTGTGTGGGTTATTCCATTGCGAATAGCACTATATATTTGTAATTATGAAAGAAAGTGAAGGTGGGAAATTCACAAGGAGATCACGTTCAAGCTCCTCTTAAAATTGTTCTGCTCAATGAGGCTTTGCCAGTTTTAAATCTTGCCTAGTCTCAGGGGGTGATATCCAACTAATCCATCATATTCAAAGCATACCAATTAAAATTAATGGACAGAAGCTACTTGTCCATTGATTTCAATGGGTTTAGTCTGAGTATGACTAAAGTTGGGTATAACCCAATGAGTTTAGTACAGTGGTAAAGGTAAAGGTACCCCTGCCCGTACGGGCCAGTCTTGCCAGACTCTAGGGTTGTGCGCTCATCTCACTCTATAGGCCGGGAGCCAGCGCTGTCCGCAGACACTTCCGGGTCACGTGGCCAGCGTGACAAGCTGCATCTGGCGAGCCAGCGCAGCACACGGAACACTGTTTACCTTCCCGCTAGTAAGCGGTCCCTATTTATCTACTTGCACCCGGGGGTGCTTTCGAACTGCTAGGTTGGCAGGCGCTGGGACCGAACGATGGGAGCGCACCCCGCCGCGGGGATTCGAACCGCCGACCATGTGATTGGCAAGTCCTAGGCGCTGAGGTTTTACCCACAGCACCACCCACATCCCTAGTACAGTGGTAAAAAGGTAAAGGTAAAGGTACCCCTGCCCGTACGGGCCAGTCTTGACAGACTCTAGGGTTGTGCGCCCATCTCACTCAAGAGGCCGGGGGCCAGCGCTGTCTGGAGACACTTCCGGGTCACGTGGCCAGCGTGACATCGTTGCTCTGGCGAGCCAGAGCCGCACACGGAAACGCCGTTTACCTTCCCGCTAGTAAGCGGTCCCTATTTATCTACTTGCACCCGGGAGTGTTTTCGAACTGCTAGGTTGGCAGGCGCTGGGACCGAACAACGGGAGCGCACCCCGCCGCGGGGAGGCTTTTACCCACAACGCCACCCGCGTCCCCAGTACAGTGGTACCTCAGGTTAAGTACTTAATTCGTTCTGGAGGTCCATACTTAACCTGAAACTGTTCTTAACCTGAAGCACCACTGTAGCTAATGAGGCCTCCTGCTGCCGCTGCGCCGCCAGAGCATGATTTCTGTTCTCAGCCTGAAGCAAAGTTCTTAACCTGAAGCACTATTTCTGAGTTAGCGGAGTCTGTAACCTGAAGTGTATGTAATCTGAGGTACCACTGTACAGGCTCTTTTGGGAGCTAGTTATTGTCGGCATCCATGGGAACCAAAGGTGGACAAACTACCCCAGAAGGAACACAATGTGTTCCCTACCAGAGGTACTATCCTGACACCCCATGCACCCCATGGGAGCTAGTATGGACACGGTATTTAATATGATAACTGCTGCTCTAAAGGTTTTGTTGGTGAAACAAACGGAGGACACTACACTTTAACAATTGTGCATGTGTGCCTAACCAGACAAGATGGTGGCACAATCACCATTCCATTGTAATAGTATTGTATAAGCACTGCATCTTATGGTTTGCACCTGCATATCTCAGAGAGCCACTCCTTAAATCAAGCACATATCCCATTTGTTGTTCTTTTGCTTTTTAAGATTCGTAAAATGCACTGTGCTTTGCATCCCATTTATAAAAGCACCTAAATCAATTGTGGGAAGGAACAAGGCCTTTTCAGTTGTAGCCTCACAGTTATGGAATGAGGTTCCCATAGAGATGAATCATCAATGTGTCTCATTTTAAATTTCAGGTAAAAGCACAAAGCACTTTTTAAAACTGGGATTCTTTTTACTGTAGTTTTATCTTTCTGCTGCTTTAATGTTACTTGTGTATGTTTTATTCTACTTTAATTGATTTTATGTGCTGATGTTGATTTTATCAATTTTGTAAGCCACCTAGAGCTTTGAAAGAACTAATTTTGTTCAATACATGAACAAAAAGAAATAACTATAAGCAAACACCTCAGCTATTGAAGATGAGGCTAACATGGTAATCATTTAAAGTTTAAACAAATAGTCCTCAGGAGAATCTTAATTGCTTAATTTAGCAGGTAAAGCAACCATAGAGTTAAGTTTCTCTTGTAAACTTCATCCTTCCACTAGGCAATACCCATCTTGGGCAGTAAATGAAAGTACCCTTGATAGTCCTGGTTAATGTACCAATTCTTTGTGCCAGCTGCTTTTAAAAGACCAACAGCACAATCCTAAATATGTTTATGCAGAAGTAAGTCCCTCAGAGTTCAATGGGGCTTGTTTCTCGAACCTGAACGTGTTTAGAATTGAAGCCCCAAACTGTTTACTATTTGCCAGAGATGGCAATGGTTAAGGCTGCTAGTTTACACCACCCATTCATTACATCGGTCATAACCAGTTCACACCAAGTCATCTGTAATAATAAGATAACGCATTCCATAAAAGAGGACATTTACCTACTCCCTTCTCTCCTAGTAATTTTAAATGAAAGAAGGTATCAAAGTAATACAACACCACAGGTAGTGATTTCCAGTACACAGTACAAACATGTTATAGCAATCATCCCTTTCTGCCCTAAAGTTTTAAACCCTGCTTAAATCAGTTTTGGAAATAAGAGGAAAAAGCAAAGATCGCCCCGCACGCCCCCAGCCTCACACAGTCTCTCACCTTGGGCAGGCTGCTCTAGCAGCAGCAGGAGGAGGAGGAGGGAGGGCTGAGGCAAGCCGGGCACTGGAAGCAAAGAGCCAAGATAGCAGAAGTCTCCCCCCCCCTCCCCAAGTTGCGACTGACCTTGTATTGTTCTTGGTCAGAACAAGGTTATATTGTGCTCAGGAACAGAGTGTTGCCATCCTCCTGCCGCTCACCTCCAGGCGAACGAGGGCTGCGGCTGCCCTGAGGGGGAGGGGATCTCACGAAAGTCATGCACACAACAGCTACGCTCGAGTCCCATTCAGCCTTTCCCCGTTCTCTGCCTCTTTTCTCCCTCTTTTCCTTCAAGCGGGAGAGCCTGGCTCAAATAGCACAGCCAGCCCTCCAAAGAAGCACAGGAACTGACATCATCGGCACTACACTTTTAACCCCTTGCCTGACAATAAGATCAGGTTAGGCTGCCTCCCCTCCGAAATAAAACAGCAGGGAACTGACTTCCCACCCACAGGATTTCTCTGTGATCTTTTGTGTGTCCGTGTGGGAAATGGCCTTCTTTTGTACCGACAAGCACTCTTGTCACGTTTTCTTTCATTTCAGCTTGGCCAGGCATTGTCCCAGAGAAGAAATACTCACTCTAGATGCATCCATTCTCTTCCAGAAAGCTACATACAAATGGGCGTAAAGTAACCAGGATTTTTGTTGGGGGGACGGGACAGAACCTCAGCTAGCTATGGATTTTTATTGATGGGGGGGCAGCTGCAGCTCCCTCCCCCCCCGCTACACCCATGTACATACCCCTACACAATACACAAATCCTAAATTTGATTTTAAAAAATAAAATAAGGAATTTGAAAGAGAATTTTTAAAAGCAGCTGAGTTCCAGAATCATGATTATGATTTTTTAAAATGTCAAAAGATGAAAAGGTTTTGTGGGAGGAGGAGTTGGGGGGAAGGAAAGCCAAGACATTTTGGTGCAAATACTGTAGCACACAATATCCAGCAACGAATTGTGCCCTTTCCGCATGTGTTGGCATAATAATACGCAAGTGGTCTTAGTTATCTATATGATCTATACATGTCTAAGTTATAAAAGGAAAGTGGATCTTAGCCACACTGGTAGTGCTTGCCGTGATGCAACCACACCGCATCATATACGGAACAACTCAGTCTTCACTGCAATCCTAAAGGCATTCAGACTGTGCACACATTACCATTTACTCTGGCTCTGGTGCATGCTGGCGTTTGAATCTGTGTACACACAACGTTATCGACAACACAGAGCTGGCCTGTAGTTTCTTGAAAAATACTATTGTTTGATGTGTTTTCCCTTAAACTAACTCCAATATGAAGGGAAAACCTAAGGCACATTCACTTCACAGTTAAGCTGAGGTGTGTGCATTTGAGACAGCCATTGTCCATGTGCCAATGACGGGTTGTAGGGGCAGGGAAACCAAACAGGTAATGCACATCGGGTTCAACCTCCCTACCCTCTATTTGGTGTGTACAAGAGTGTGCAAATGTGACTCAAACACAGTTGTGAGGGCTGTGTACATAGCCTTACTTACAGAGATAAGTCCAAGGGACTTACTTCTGTGTAATAAGCATGTTTAGGATTGTGCAGTTAGTCTGGTATAAGCAGCAACCAATGAGTTAAACCAGAGCTATCAAGGGTACTTTTATATATTACTTAGCATAAGGATTCCTAGTGGATTCTGTTTACAAGATTAAGTCAATTTACCTGCTAAATGAGTAGAGAACTTGTTGGTTGCTTGGCAATCTTTTGAACCAGAAGTAGTTGAATATTTGTCTCTGTTCAGTGTTATGGTGAAATAATACGATTAAAAGAGGAATAAGGAATGGCCAAAATTCAGTTGCAGAGCACATGCTTTACATACAGAGGATTCCAGCATCAGTCTCTAGCATATCCAGAATAGGGCTCAGAAAATCCCCTGTCCAGAACTCAGGAATGCCTCTGTCAAACAGGGGAAGCAATACTGGGCTAGTATTATCAGTATGGTCTCACTCAGTCTTCCCATATGCACTAGCATATTGGTTGGTGATGTTATGTCACAAAGACATTGGAAACTAAATACCCTGTTGTTGTTGTTCTTGTTGCTCCTCCCATATATTTTCAAGGGAGTAGTCATTTGGAGGTATTTCTCCAAAGAAGTAGGTCTTAGGATGACCAAACCCATCATATTACTTTTCCTTTCCTAAGAACTGTCACACAGGGCAGTGAAGCAGTTCAGGAACAGAAGGCAGGTGTGGAACATGCAAACATTGTGTGTTACTACCCTCTACAGGAGAAAATGCACAATAGTGTTATTGTGCCAATTGTGATATAATTCATGATAACACAACATGCAGGTCACACCATACATTTAAAGCTGTATTACACAACTTTGAACATTCATTGCTTCCCCTGCTGAAGAATATTTGGAACTGTAGTTTATTAAGGGTGCTGAGAATTGCGAGGAGACCCCTATACCCCTAACAGAGCTACAATTCTTAAGAGTGGTTTCACAATCAATCTCTCTTCCAGGGAACTCTGGGAAATGTAGCTGTGTGTAGGGAAAATGGGTCTTCTAACAACTCTCAGCACCCCAAACAAGCTACAGTTATCATTTATGCCATGCCTCTCATCAGCCTTGCTCTGTACTCTTGAGTACTTTGGCCTGGAAAGTATCCTTGAACTGGGATGGTGCTTCTTGCTTAGCTGGGTTGAGTGATGGGAGGCCATAGAAACTTATGGGTTTTGCATAGCTGGAATGGAGCCCATGGTACAAAGATAAGCGTCACATTTGTTGTTCCACTTCTATGCCTGTGACCCTGTCCAACACTGGCACACAGCCCCTGGATGTTCCTCTACAAAGGAATGCAGGCCTTATGCTGGAAAAGATCCCCTATGATGCTCCCCTGCCCATGATAGGTACAGATGAAGAGAGTGTGCTACAACTTTTTCCACAATAAACAATAACAAAGTTAAATCTCTGTATGGGGTGCCCACAATTGTGAGGTCTGAAGAGATGAAGATGATGCCTCCACAATTGTTGCCATTGTCTGTGGACTGCTTGTGATGTCACAAAGCACTTGAGTAGAACACAACTTGCAATGGTTGTGACATTCAGCATTGCACAGGTTTCTTCCATTTGGAGGAGGTGAACTGGCAAATGGAAGGAGGCGATCAGCTGCCAGCAGAATGCTATGGACTGATAATAAGGCAAGTTTGCTTGCTGAATGGGATTGTGTCTTGAAGGCTGCTGATATCCATATTCAGAAACTGGCTGATGTCTAGTAATGGACCTAATGGACGCTGGCAGATGTTGGTGGGTGGAAGTCAGTGGAGTTCACATTCAGAAGCTGATGGATGCTGCAAGGCAGAAGCAGGCTGATGTATGCAGATGTAAGCTGGCTGATGTTTGCCTTCAAAAGCTGGTCAACAGAAGCTGGTGGATATTTGTGGACTGAAAGGGAGGAGGGGGTAAATATTAATATTTGTTTTTTTAAAAAATGCTTATGTGAATTTATTTTTTGTGATAATATTTATAAAATGAGAAAATGAAAAATAAATTTATAAAAAAGAGGAGAGGCCTGCTGGGTGCTGCTTGTGGGCTTCCCAAGAGGCCCCTGTCTTGGTAGTAGGTGAAAGATGGTGCTGAATAGGAATTTGGTCTGATCCAAGGTGGTTCTCCTTATGTCCTTATTGTCAGCTAATGAGCAGAAGGTTAAACCCTGTTGGCTACAGGAGTCTGCTGAAACTTGTGAGTGGAAAAGAAAAATAGGTAAGCAGAGTCTATACAAGCAAGCACAAATAGAAAACCAGAAATAACAGTACATAAAATATCTGGCAGGCTTTGAGTAACGATGGCGTCTAGACAGAACTGAGTTTAGTACTGGCGTAGTTGCCATTTTACACTCAGGGAAGCATTCCCTTCCCCAATAATTCCTAGCTCTACAGACAACAGCACCTGGCAGACAACAGACTGAGAGGCACTGAGCTTTCCAATTATGTTAATCATTATGCATGGTGGCAAATGTATTGTAATAAATAACCAGTGCTGAAGTGCCTAAGGATTTTCCCAAAGGGATTTTTGAGAAAAAGAGAAAGAAAATAACCTCTGAGTCTGGCAACAAATAAAAAAATGTCCAGAACTTGAGAGGCATTTATTATATCTCCATTGTTCTCTGCTCATCTAGGGAATATTTATGCTAAAAAGTATAGCTGTCAGAATGCAGTGTATTCTCCTACCTTCAAAACTTTTCATGTTCTTTATGAAGTATATTTGCCTTCATTTTGTATGGCCCAATTACCCCTCATGCTTCTTTCATGTGATGCTCATTGACTTTTCTTCTGAATGCAGACCCATTCAGAGATACACCATCTCTTGGAGAGCCACCAAAATGAAAAGTTCAGAAATGGATGTATTTCATATGAAAATATCAGTGTCAGTCATGTTGCCATCGCCTTGGATTCCAGCACTAACCTCAATGCACAGACTAGAGGCCAATATATCAGTTGTGTCAACAGAGGAGGCACTGAGCATCACCACTGAATGGGAGACCCCCAAGCCCACAATGCCAGGGATCCTGGGAACGAGATCATAGAATTATCGAATTGTAGACTTGCAAGGGACCAGAATTTTTTGCCCAATGTAGGACTTGAACCCACAACCCTAAAATTTAGTCTTATGCACTACCAACTGAGCCCTGCAGCTTGCAACCCTGAGTCCAGCAACAGGCAAGGATGCTCACCAAAAGAGCCTCAAACACCAGCCCAGCATGCCCAAGCCAGAGAGACAACTGAGTGCCAGGCTTTCAAATAAGTGGCTCTGGCATTTCAAAAAGCAACAGTCTCACAATTCTGCAGTCACTGTATATATTTTAATTTATAAAAAATTATATACCAAAATTTATATACTGTACCACCAACATTAAGAAAAAAATATGGTGAACAGCATAAGATCAACAATAAAAATGCATTTATAAACTGGTACAAAATACCGGTACATCACAAATCAATAGATCAGATTAATATGACAACATAGCTGCATCACCCGCTCAGAAAAAAGGCTGGGTGAACAGGCAGGTTTTAAGAAGGTGCCCACAGGCCAATACTGTAAGTATCTGCCTGATGTTCTTTGGAAGCACATTCCAAAGGGCAGGTGCCAACACAATAAAGACCCTGGGCATAAAGCAAACCTTGGGCACATTCAACAATACTAAGAGTTTCTCCCCAACCCTCCACACACACCAAGATTAAGTGACCAGGCAGGATATAACAAGGGATGGTGTTTTTGAAGGTACGTTGGTCCCAAGTCCTTCACAGCTTTATACTGATGTCAGTAGCAGACTTACTGTATCATTCTGCACTAGCTGCAGCTTCGACAGTGGAACAGACTCC